CCCTCTGTGTTGACAGTTGCTTTCCCTTGGCCTGGTATTAATACATAAAGGCTAGAAGTTTTTTAATTTCATGAATCAAAATCAGGTGTAAGTACCACTTAGGGTCTTTGATCAGGGTTGCATGGGTCACTCATTCATTTCCAGAGTGAGTAACTGGAGCACCCCCGTGTCTGTCACTGATTTAGGGAACACAGAGGATGGAGGATGAAGAACATGATCAGGGGTCTGCCCTCCAGGCACTTACAATGGAGAGATAATTAACATGTCACACAGAGTTAATTAATTAATTGATAGATGAGTATGCTGTGTAAAGTTCAGGGAACAGTGATGCATGAGAGACGCTCCCGCATCAGTCAGCTCGGGCGCCGTGACGCAGCGCCCCAGGCTGGGCGGCGTGAACAGCTGACCATCTCTGTGAGGGTTCAGGGGCCAGACGTCCGCATCCCTGGGTCGGAGGGCTGGCTTCTCCTGAGGCCTCTGTCCTCGGCTTGGGGACAGCTGGCTTGTCCCTGTTCCCAGGAAGAGTCTGTGTCCTAATCTTGTCCTCTTCTTATAAAGTCCGTCCACATTTCCCCGCCAGTAGAACACCAAGGGCGAGCACAGTAGGGATGAGGGAAGAGAGTCGGGGGAGGCGGGGGCCAGTGTCAGCCTGGGGCCCCAGGCCTGCCCTCACGTGGGTTATTGGAACCCACAGCCCGGGAGAGGAGAGCTGGGAGAGGGTCCGGGGAGGCAGCTCACTCCTGTCCCTGTGTCCCCGCAGGGCCCTGCTCAGCAGCGTCCACTTCCTGCTCCTGGTCTTCCTGAAGCTGCCGGTGTTCCTGAGCATGCTGGGGGCCGTGCTCTGGGTGAGCCGGCCTCGGCGGGGCCCTGGGTGGGGCGGGACCCCCCATTATGAGAACCAGTAGCCCCCATGGCCGTTGACATCTTGTGTGAACAAAAGAGCTTCAAGGGGAAGGAAAAGCACTTTTGTTATGAAATGACTGTGGTCAGCAGGGCCGGTGCTTCTGGAAGCAATGCAGGACCTACGACCCAGGACGCGGGACGCAGGGCTGCAGGACCCAGTCCCTGGGCACCCAGAGCCATGATGCTGGGCCTGTGGGCCTGGCTCTGGGGTCCCCTTCTATGCTGCCCAGGTCCTTCCTTCTCCCTGAGGCCACAGCGCAGCAGGAGAGACAAAGAGATCAGCAGGACAAGGGCCTGTGCCTGGGACCCAAGGCCTCGGGGCCAGGTCTGATGTGAACCCCGAGAACCTCTGCCCGGCATGGACTGACTGTGCGTTGGATGGGGTTCAGGGCTCCCACCCACATGGGGTCACAACTCTTCCAACGGCTACAAACACAGAACTCTCCAAACATTGAAAAAAATCACAAACATTTATTTTTAAAAAGAAGGAGGCAAAACTGACATGGAGGAGGAGGATGCAGGTGACAAGGAGGAGGGGGTGGGGCCTCCTGCAGGAAGGGGGGAAGGTGGGGGACCGTCCCTCTGGAGGTGGTTAGAAGGAGCAGTGTGCCCGGCGCAGTGAGTGTGCCCAGAGCCCCAGCCCCAGAGAAACACGCAGACGGGTGGGGAGAACCACCCAGGTCACACTGGGGCTGAGGAAAAAGGCCGCTTCTCCTTCCTTTTCCTGGCCCCGCCTGGGCCTCTGCTTCAGACAGACGTGGGGCTGGAAGGAGGCCGTCCTGAGGGAGGGACAGGGGAGAGGGTGGGAGGGGGCTGAGCTTCCCTGGAGTGGAGCAGCCTGGAGGCAGGTGGGATGGGTCACTGCCCACTGCCAGGCTGGGTGTCAGCCCTGAGCCCTGCGTCCTCCCCGAGCGCACACCCAGCGCGTCTCCCTCGCTCCCTGGGCCCCGGGCTCTGAGCTCCTCTGTCAGGCTCCCATGCACGCTGGTCCCACCCCGTGTGCTGGCACCAACTTCTTAGCTCCCCGCAGGCACAGACAGGCGGAGCCCTGGCCTGGCCTGGACGCTTTGCTTCACCAAACCCTTGGACACACACCAGGCTTACACTTGCCCAGGAGGACACTGGCTGTCTGCAGCTAATGAAATGAGGAAGCAACTGAGGACGACAAATATGGGAAGTAGAGGAGGGAGACAAAATCCAATGATTTAGACAAAGCGAAAGCAGTTTCCCTCTGGGCTCCGTTCAGTCCCTGGAGGTCACTGGCGTCTGACGGTCCCCAGGGAGAGAAGGCAGAGCCAGGACCATGTGGCTGCTCCCACCTCTGCTCCTGCTCATCATCCCAGGTTAGTGGGGCGGGGCTGCAGGAATGGGCAGGACTGGGGCTGGGTGGGACCCAGAGAGGGTCAGTCCTGGGGGAAGGGACACGTCCAGTCCAGCATCCAGACCCTCTGAGTGGAAGGAAACCAAGGGCCTGCTGACTCCCCGCTGCTCTGTCGGGGGGAAAGGAGCAGAAGCTCCCCTGTCGGGACCGCGTCCCTCCCCCTGACTCTGCCCCCCACACACAGGGGGAGGAACCCAGGAGCCAGTCCAACCCTGGGGACCTTCAGGAGCTCAGGTGCTGGGGCTGCAGCTCACACCCTCTCAGTGAGGGAGGGGCTCAGGGACCCGGGTTGTTTCAGAGCCTCCTCAGCTGCTGGTGCCTTGTAGCCAGAGCTGAGCCCCCTTCCCTAAAGCTCTCAGATACTGGCAGAGGACAGGCAGTGAAGCCAGGGTGACAGGCTCTCTGGACAGTCTCTCCACCTGGCTCACCTGCCTGCCTGAGCTTCTGCTCGGGACAGAGCAAAGACGGGACCATCATCAGTGTGGTCAGTGCGATGTCGGAGACACATGGAGTGGGGTCACGAGGAGGCAAGACCAGAGGTGAGAAGGTGCCTGTTCTGGGCCCAATGTCAGCCCCTGGGCACAGCTGGTGCATGATGCTCAGAGAGGCCCGGGTCCAGGGGTGCAGGGCCACCTGGCTGCCCAGCTCTGCTGCTTCCCACCCTCCCAGGTGAGCGCCCCGGGGACTGGAACCTCAGCGCTCGGGGCTGGGTTCCCCTGGGTCCACCTGGGCCACCCCGAGACTCTCCCCGCCTCTCGGCCTTACACGCACTCCATCTGCAGAGTCCCTGCTGCCGTGGGAGGGGCGTGTCCGCAGTACGGGGGCTGGCTGGTGTCTGCAACAGACTGCTGTGCTGCTTAAGCTCTGCCCCCGATTTTTATTTGTAGTGTTTTCTCTATTTAGTTAAAAGATTTAAATGTTTCTATTCTAATCATTTTCTTTGCTCACTGGTCATGTAAGACGTGTGTGTTTAACTTGTGAACATGTACAAACGTTTAAGCTCTTGGTTCCTACCTCAGCTGAACTGGGCTCAGAGACACACTCAGTGATTTCAGTCTCAGAGTGTTTAGGGACCTGCCTCTGCCAGACCTCGGCAGTGCTCCGTGTCTGCCCGCGTTCTCTGAGTAATTTTTAAAAAGTGTCTGATGATGCTTAACTCAGTTCTCCCATGCACTTCCACTCTCATCCCAAACATACAAGAGGGAAACAAGAAAAATGATAAAAATTGTGTATTTATTCTCACACGTTTCAACCTCAGTCACCATCCAAGTCCTCTCCATCGGATGCAGCGCACCTGTCGAGACCTTTTTCCCACGGCTCAGAATATTTTTGAAGTCATCAGTGTTGATGCCCTTTAGTGCTTCTGCGGGTTTGTGTTTCACCTCTTTGACATCGGTAAAATGTTGACCCTTGAGGACTTTTTTTCATCCAGACGAACGGAAAAGGGGCACCCAGGGACCCAGGGAGCGATGCGGTTCAGAGGGAGCCTGAGAGACACAGGTTTCAGGCCGTTCTCACTCACACCCGCTGAACACACCCGCGGTGTGGGCAGTGCGCTGGGACATCGCCCGTGGTGATGTGGGCGAACGTGCTGAGCATCTTCAAAAAAAACATTCACCGAAGCTGAGCGCAGCCTCTCGCGTGAACCCCAGCCAGGACGCCGAGCAGACAGCTGCCCACCACGCTCGCCTGGTGGAGGAGCCCGAGTCACAGGGGACCCACCTACCGGAAGATAATTTTGGCTTTTTGTGGTTCTCCATCGGATACTGCAACTTTCGTGCTTACTGATCACTGGCAGCAAATACATCATCAGAGTCTACCGTTTTTGGGAACCAGTCTGCTTGCTTCATAAATGTAAAGAACTTTTTAGGGATATCTCATTAATTTATTTCCTTTGCTCTGAGTGCTTCAGGGAAGAGGTCACATGGGAAACACTGGGCGGGCTGGTGTCCCGTGTGGGCTGTTTGTTTGAACACGGGAGGCATTAAGGCTGGTCGGTTTGCTCATGTTCTAACTCTTGTTCTAACTCTTGAATTATGTTCATTAAGTTTAAGAAAATTCTTAGAAGACACAAGAGGTGCTAGCCCAGGTGTTTTTATCTTGCACTGAAGTTGACGACCATTCAGTGGAGAAAATGGGATTGTGTGACGTGGGTTCCCAGTTGGTGTCATCACTTTGGTCAATAACAAAGGCACTCCTGTGGGGGGTGGGGCTCATGATGGACCCACCGGGGCCATCAGCACCACCTGGGCCATCCTCTGCACAGCCAGGTGCGGCGGGTGCCCCAGCCGGACCTCCGAGGTCACGGGCACAGGTCAGGCACGACCGCCCTCCTGGGGAGGTGGGTCCTCTGCTGCTTCCTCCCCAGGAGACCAGTTTAACACAGACGTGGGCGCCAAGGGACACTGAGGGGACATGGAGATTTCTTGCCACAGGGAGGGGGAGGGGTGAATTGTCAGAAGCTGTTACTGCTCAGTGTCCACATCGTGTCTCTGAGATCTGGGGCTGTGCTCTTAGGGGATTTGGAGGCGGCTGTGACGCAGTGGGAGTTTGAAGGACAAAGGTCTGTCTTGAGGAAGGTGATTCCTCCCTGGACTCTGTGCCTCTCACCGGGGCACGTGGACTTACTGGGGCTGTCACTGTGCAGGAGGCTGAGGATCTGCCAGGGCATGGGGTTGTGGAAAAGATGACAGGAACATGGGTTTGTGTTTTCCAGGCTCAGCAGCTGTCATCACGGGTCCACGAGAAGCTAGAGGCCCTGAGCGGGGCTGGCTGACCGTGTGGTGTCACTATGACCCAGGGCGGGAGCCCTACGTGAAGTACTGGTGTCGTGGAGCTGATTTCAGGAACTGCACAGTCCTTGTTAGAACCACGGGATCAGAGCTGGAAGTGAAGGAGGACCGTGTGTCCATCAGGGACAATCAGACCACCCACACGTTCACCGTGACCATGGAGAAGCTCAGGCGGGAGGATGCAGACGCTTACTGGTGTGGGATTGAGAGAACTGGAGCTGACCCTGGCGCCCCAGTTAAAGTGACCGTTGGCCCAGGTAAGAGAGAGTGTGTGTGTGGCTGTGTGGCTTCAGGGCCTGCTGTGTCCTGGTCCCTGAGGTCCCTGTCAGGGACTGTGCTCACTCAGAGGGAACTGTCCCAGAGGGTGGTTGAGTCCTGAGGGCTCATGGGCCCTGCTGCTCACGTGGGCTCGGAGGGGCAGGGTGTCTCTTAGCAGCTCTCTAGGTGCGGGACCGTCCCTCGGGAGGTGGTTAGAAGGAGCAGTGTCCCTGGCGCAGTGGAACCCACAGCCTGTCAAACAGGCAGAGAGGTGGGGAGAGCCACCCAGGACAAACTGGGGCTGAGGGGAAAGGCTGCTTCTCCTTTCATATCATGTCCCCATGCTGGTCTCTGCTTCAGGTGACTCAGGACTGGGAGGAAGCTGTCCAGAGGGAGGGCCAGGGGACAGGGTGGGAAGGGGTCTGAGACCCCCTGTGCCCTGCAGTGGGGCAGCCTGGAGGCAGGTTGGGGACAGGACTGGTCCTGCTGCCAGGCTGGGTGTCAGCCCTGAGCGCTGCGTCCTCCCCAGGTGCACACCCAGCGCGTCTCCCTCGCTCCCTGGGACCCGAGCTCTGAGCTCCTCCCTGCGGCCCTGTCCCCCATCCTCCACCCCGTGTGCTGGTCCCCCTTCTCAGCTCCTCCCACTCCCATGGGCAGGCGGAGGCCTGGACAGGCCTGGATGCTTTCTTTCCCCCAAATCATTGAAGACACATCAGTCATACACTTGTCAAGGAAGATAATCCTCTGCTGCTTAATGACATGAGGAAGTAACTGGAGATAACAATGAAGGGAAATAGGGGACAGAGACAAAAAAAAACCACAATGATTTAGCAAAATCGATTCTAGAATGTCTCTGGACTCCATTAAAGTTCCTGGAGGTCACAGGCATGTTGAAGGTCCCCAGGGAGACAATGGAGCAGCCAGGACCATGTGGTTGCTCCCACCTCTGCTCCTGCTCATCATCCCAGGTGAGTGGGGCGGGGCTGCACGAATGGGCAGGACTGGGACTGGGCGGGACCCAGAGAGGGTCAGTCCTGGGGGAAGGGACACGTCCAGTCCGGTATCCAGACCCCTTGAGTGGAAGGAAACCAAGGGCCTGCTGAGTCCCCGCTGCTCTGTCGGGGGGAAGGAGCAGAAGCTCCCCTATCGGGACCGCGTCCCTCCCCCTGACTCTGCCCCCCACACACAGGGGGAGGAACCCAGGAGCCAGTCCAATCCTGGGGACCTTCAGGAGCTCAGGTGCTGGGGCTGCAGCTCACAGCCTCTCAGTGAGGGAGGGGCTCAGGGACCCGGGTTGTTTCAGAGCCTCCTCAGCTGCTGGTGCCTTGTAGCCAGAGCTGAGCCCCCTTCCCTAAAGCGCTCAGAGAACCCAGAGGGGACAGGCAGTGAAGCCAGGGTGACAGGCTCTCTGGACTGTTGCTGTCGCTCCACCTGGCTCACTGCCTGCCTGAGCTTCTGCTCGGGACAGAGCAAAGACAGGACCATTGTCAGTGTGATCAGTGCGATATGGGAGACGCATGGAGCGTGGTCAGAGGGAAGCAAGACCAGAGGTGAGAAGGTGCCTGTTCTGGGCCCAATGTCAGCTCTTGGGGACAGCTGGTACTTGATGCTCAGACAGGCCTGGGTCCAGGGGGGCAGGGCCACATGGCTGCCCAGCTCTGCCGCTTCTCACCTTCCCAGGTGAGCGCCCCGGGGACCGGAACCTCAGCCTTGAGGCTGGGTTCCCCTGGGTCCACCTGGGCCACCCCGAGACTCTCCCCGCCTCTAGGCCTTACACGCACTCCATCTGCAGAGTCCCTGCTGCCGTGGGAGGGGCGTGTCCGCAGACGGGGCTGGCTGGTGTCTGCAACAGACTGCTGTGCTGTTTAAGCTTTGCACCGAATTTCTATCTGCAGTGCTTTCTCTGTCTGTTTAGTCAAGAGATTTAAACGTTTCTATTCTAATCATTTTCTTTGCTCACTGGTCATGTAAGACGTGTGTGTTTAACTTGTGAACATGTACAAACATTTAAGCTCTTGGCTTCTACCTCAGCTGAACTGGGCTCAGAGACACACGCAGTGATTTCAGTCTCGGAGTGTTTAGGGACCTGCCTCTGCCAGACCTCAGCAGTGCTCCGTGTCTGCCCGCGTTCTGTGCTTTGTAAAACCGTGTTTGAAGTTGTTGAACTCAGTCGTCCCCAAGTACTTCCAGTTTCATCCCAAATACGTGAAGGGGGAAAGAAAAAATCCCCAGAATTTGTTAGTAAAATATCGCGTATTCACTCTTACACGTTCCCACTTCAGTCTCCTTCTCGGTCTTCTCGGTCAGATGCGATGCAGCCGTGGGGCATTTCCCCCCCCCCCCACCCCGCTCAGAGCATTTTGAACTCATCGATTTGATGCCTTGCAGTGTTGCTGCCCTTTCTCGTCACACCTCTTCCACACGGGCAAATCGTTTACCTCAAAGGATTTTTTCATTTGGGGAAAAAACAAAAGAAATCACAAAGGGCCACACTGGGTGAATAGGGAGGGCGGGGCGTGGGGGCCATGCCGTTGTGGTCACAAACTGCGGAACGCTCAGTGAGCTGTGGGCAGGTGCGCTCACAAATCACCCGTCACAGAATGGGCAAATGCGTTGAAAAAGTCTTGAAAGAAAATTCCCTAATGCCAAACGCAGCCTCTCACGACAACGCCAGCTGGTACACTGATCCAGATGGATTCCTAGAACACTCACCTTGCAGGGGAATCCTGTACCACCCAAGGCTCACCCTCCAGGGGATAATTCTGCTTGTTTTGGGTGCCCCCTCACATTCTACAGCATCCCCACCCACTGGGCTTTGGCAGCAAATAAATTAACAAGAGTCTGTCCTTTTTTTGACCAGTCTGCCTTTGGTTCATAAGCTTAAAGAATTTTTGATGGAAGTCTTACTTAATTTATTTCCTTTGCTCTGAGTGCTTCAGGGAAAAGCTGACATGGGAAATACTAGGCGGGCTGGTGTCCTGTGTGGGCTGTTTGTTTGAAGATAGCAGGCAATAAGGGTTGTCACTTTTCTCATGTTTTAACTCTTGCATAATTATGTTCATTAAAGCTTAAGAAAATTCTTAGAAGACACAAGAGGTGCTAGCCCAGGTGGTTTTATCTTGTGCTGACATTGATGACTATTCAGTGGAGAAAATGGGATCGTGTGACATGGGCTTCACAGTTGGTGTCACCACGTTGGTCGATTACAAAGGTGCTCCCACAGGGGGGCGGGGCTCACGATGGACCCACCGGGGTCATCAGCACCGCCTGGGCCATCCTCTGCACAGCCAGGTGCGGCAGGTGCCCCAGCCGGGCCTCCGAGGTCACGGGCACAGTCAGGCACGACCGCCCTCCTGTGGAGAAGGGTCCTCTGCTGCTTCCTCCCCAGGAGACCAGTTTAACACAGACGTGGGCGCCAAGGGACACTGAGGAGTGTTGCGCGTGGGTCACCGGCCAGCAGTGACCACGGAACGCTGTGGATGGCTCGACGATAAACACGCGAGAAAAAACATGCACAGAGACAAACTAGTTTCTGTGGGGAAGTAGGGACGAAATGGCCACCCCCCCTAGTGGGGAGCGCGCTGATTTACCGTCCATACCTGCTTTTATTGGGCTCATTTTGCATAATAATTCAGGTAAAGTACAGTACTCATTAGGGGGAAAGTAAGGAACTATAGAAAACAAAGAACTCTGCCCGTCTATTGAGTTGGGGGGTCAAAGAGCTGTAAGACTGAGGAACAAACTAACTTCCTCCTAAGACCCTTCTCATTCAACTGAGAGCATTCTAAACAAAGAAGGTTTCACAGTAATTTACATGTTCTTTCTTAGGCCTGATCACCCGGGGAATCCGCACTTCTCAGTACAGAGCTGCACCACCCTGTCATTGTTTCAGGGTTAGGTGGAGCACGGGAACTAAGGCAATCAAGAGATAAGGAGATTTTCTCCCAGACGCTGAGAACTCAGGCTATGTCAAAGCCGAGGAGCGAGGGTCCATCACCCCCTTTTGCTGCAGCCCCCCAAGTCCTTCTTTTGGGGGGCCTCCCAAAAGTGATCGTGCCTGTCTTAGGTCGTTCCCCCTGTGGGGAATCTTACCCGTCTTTGGCTAACCGACCAAGCTTTTTGGGGTTCAGTTATGAATAAAGCAGCAGAAGCAGCATTCCTGCCAGGGAGATAAGCTTTTGTCTCCTTGCTGGCTTACAGTTCCAAGGGCGTTCCCTTAGCTTTAGCTAGGCGGGGGTTTCAGCTTCTGATACCAGTCAGGGCGGTTCCCAACAGAGGAGACATGGAGATTTCTTGGCCACAGGGAGGGGGAGGGGTGAATTGTCAGAAGCTGTTACTGCTCAGTGTCCACATGGTGTCTCTGAGATCTGGGGCTGTGCTCTTTGGGGATTTTGGAGGCAGCTGTGGTGCAGTGGAAGTTTGAAGGACAAAGGTCTGTCTTGAGGAAGGCGATTCTTCCCTGGACTCTATGCCACTCACGGGGCACGTGGACTTACTGGAGCTGTCACCGTGCAGGAGGCTGAGGATCTGTCCTCAGTGTGGGGGTCGGGGCAGAGGTGACAGGCACATGGGTTTGTGTTTTCCAGGCTCACCAGCTGTCATCACGGGTCCAGGAGAAGCAAGAGGCCCTGAGCAGGGCTCGATGACCGTGCAGTGTCGCTATGACCCAGGGTGGGAGACGCACGTGAAGTACTGGTGTCGTGGAGCTGATTTCAGGATCTGCAGGATCCTTGTTAGAACCACGGGATCAGAGCAGGAGGTGAAGAAGGACCATTTGTCCATCAGGGACAATCAGACCAGCCGCATGTTCACCGTGACCATGGAGAAGCTGAGGCGGGAGGATGCAGACACTTACTGGTGTGGGATTGAGAGAACTGGAGCTGACCCTGGCGCCCCAGTTAAAGTGGCCGTTGGCCCAGGTAAGAGAGAGTGTGTGTGTGGCTGTGTGACTTCAGGGCCTGCTGTGTCCTGGTCCCTGAGGTCCCTGTCCAGGGACTGTGCTCACTCAGAGGGAACTGTCCCAGAGGGTGGTTGAGTCCTGAGGGCTCATGGGCCCACAGCTCATGTGGGCTCGGAGGGGCAGGGCTTCTGTTAGCCACTCTCCGGCTCCGGGGGCTCCTCCGGGACAGGGCCAGGCCTCTCTGGGCAACTGAGTTTCTCCACCCAGTTCCGGGCCTGACCTGTTTGCCAGAGAGATCACGGTGACGGCCCCCGGTGCAGCCTGGGGACCACAGGAACCCTCCTTGGTGGGACCCAGAGATCCCATTTTCTTCCAGTGCTGTCCTGCGACCCCTGGTGTCCATGTGTCCCTGTGGTTTGTCGAGTTTGGAGCTGGGACTCATAGGTGCTGATCCCTTCCCTGGTTCCACAGTTGGGGTGCTGTCCCCACTGCCTGAGGTCTGGAGAGGCCTCCACAGTCAAACCGTTGCATTCTGGGAGCCTGACATCCCAGCCTGAGCTGTGTGTGCCCCTGGGCTTATACACGGTGCCTTCCTCAGGCCTCTCAGTGCAGTCGGCGGCACTGGGAGCACCGGGCTTTGAACAAGCTCATCTGATGGGCTCTGCTTCTGCTGACCCTCGGACAGCTGGCGCCAGCTCACCGGGCATATGCCGGGGGCAGGGGGGTCAGGGGACACACTCCACAGAGTCCCCGCCACACTGGACCTGGGGGACTGTTAACAATTGCAGAGTGTAGCACAGTCATTGTCCTATGGATTCCTGACCGAGTGTCCAAGCAGGAACTATTTTAGTTGTAGAATCTTAATAACGTGTGCGATGTAGAGGCACATCCTGAACATGGGGATTCCCTTAAGGGCTGGTGCCGACCTTGGGTGTCCCAGACCACGGGAGTGGGAGCCACCAGGCGGCCCCCTTCTGCTCGCGTCCTCGCTGGATAGAGTAGACGGGGGAGGCGTCGGCAGAGGCCCTGTCATAACAGGGAGTGTTCAGCCTCCAGCTGAACTCCACCTGCCCTTGACCTGAGGCAGTCCTGGGCCCCCTCCCCCTTCCAGGCTGACTCCATGTCCCTCTCGGACCAGCGCCCAGACTCAGCACCTTCTGAGGCCCTGAGTCTGCCAGAGGCCGAGGGGGTAGGAGGGGTCCAGACTCCAAGCCCCTCCCATGGCCCCGCTCCAGGCTCCTGAGCCACGTGCAGGCCTGAGGGAGGGGGCAGGCAGGGCTGGGGGAGGGGGCAGGCAGGGTGGAGTGTAATATGTTCTTTGTGCCAAGCAACAACTACAGTGTCGACCACCATCCCCACCCCCACCACGTTCACAGCACCGGTCGCCACAGAGGTCCCTACAAGCTCCCGCAATATGAGCAGCCTGCACCCCGAAGGCAGGTAAGTCCAGCTCTCACAGGACTTTCCTGTCCTTTGTCCTGTTCATGCTTTGACCCGCTGATGACCCCTCCTGAGGAGGAAGGGCAGATACCCCTGTTCCCCTTCCACAGAGGGAGACCCTGAGCCTGGCTGCTGCCTCCCCGCAGCTCAGGGCCTTTCTGGTCGCTGAGCCGCCCCTCCCCCTCCCCTCGGCCTCTGGGCTTAGTGTCTGCCCCTGCCGCGCCCTCCTGCTGCCGGGCCTTCCCGCCCCGTCCCCCCACCCCGGGGCCCCTTGTCCCCTTTCCCCTTTGCCCTCTGTGTTGACAGTTGCTTTCCCTTGGCCTGGTTTTAATACATAAAGGCTAGAAGTTTTTTAATTTCATGAATCAAAATCAGGTGTAAGATCAGCGTTGCATGGGTCACTCATTCATTTCCAGAGCGAGTAACTGTGGAGCACCCCCGTGTCTGTCACTGATTTAGGGAACACAGGGGGTGGGGGATGAAGAACATGATCAGGGGTCTGCCCTCCAGGCACTTACAATGGAGAGATAATTATCGTGTGACAGAGTTAACTAGTTAATTGATAGATGAGTATGCTGTGTAAAGTTCAGGGAACAGTGATAAGTGAGAGATGCTCCTGCATCAGTCAGCTCGGGCGCCGTGACGCAGCCCCCCAGGCTGGGCGGCGTGAACAGCTGACCATCTCTGTGACGATTCAGGGGCCAGACGTCCGCATCCCTGGGTCCCAGGGCTGGCTTCTCCCGAGGCCTCTCTCCTGGGCTTGGGGACGGCCGTCTTTTCCCCGTGTCTTCCCAGGGTTTCCCCTGTGAGAGTCTGTGTCCTAATTTCCTCCTCCTCATATAAGGCACCCCCCCCGAATTCTCCCCCCCCCCAGTAGAACACCCAAGGGCGAGCACAGTAAGGATGAGGGAAGAGAGTCGGGGGAGGTGGGGGCCAGTGTCCCTGGGGCCCCAGGCCTGCCCTCACGTGGGTTATTGGAACCCACAGCCCGGGAGAGGTGAGCTGGGAATAGGGGTCGGGGAGGCAGCTCACTTCTGTCCCTGTGTCCCCGCAGGTCCCTGCTCAGCAGCGTCCACTTCCTGCTCCTGGTCTTCCTGAAGCTGCCGGTGTTCCTGAGCATGCTGGGGGCCGTGCTCTGGGTGAACCGGTCTCAGCGGGGCCCTGCGGGGGGCGGGCCGCCCCGTTCTGAGAACCAGTAGCCCGCATGGCCATTGACGTCTTGTGTGAACGAAAGAGCCTCAAGGGGAAGGAAAAGCACTTTTGTTATGAAATGATTGTGGTCAGCAGGGCCGGTGCTTCTAGAGACAGTGTGGCCCTGTCTCAGGACACAGGACCCAGTCCCTGGGCACCCAGGGCTGTGATGCTGGGCCTGTGGGCCTGGCTCTGGGGTCCCCTTCTCCACTCCCAGGTCCTTCCTTCTTGCTGAGGCCACAGCGCAGCAGGAGGGACAAAGAGATCAGCAGAACAAGGGGCCATCCCCGGGGCCCAAGGCCTTGAGTACCGGGTCTGATCTCAGCCCCGAGAGCCCCTGCTGGCATAGAACTGACTCTCGTTCGGACGGGGTTCAGGGCTCTTGCCCACTTGGGGTCACAATTCTTGACCCGGGAGTAGAAAAACGGAACCAGACACCGATGACGTGCCCACCAGCACTGAGGGTCTGAATGCTCGGTGAACAGAAGACTCTGGAGTTCTTCTCCTGCTGCTTTTTGCGTCTTGTGAGGCAGGACGCTCTGGCGCCCACTCCGCCTGTCATCTCCCGGACGTGCACGCGCGATCTTGAAACTGATTTCACATCCTCATTTGGTCTCCGCAACCCTTCTTGTCAACATCCGTAAACGTTCTTGTTTTGATATGTTCCACGTGGCTGCCCGTGTTGTTTTGGGGTCATGCGGATACCCACGTATTTTGCGGACTGAGGTGTGGTCCGTTAGACAGTCTCTGGAGCCAAGGCAGCCTTGAACCCAGGGAGGCCGGGAGGGACGAGCCTGGAGGCGGGTCCTTACCCTCTCAGGAGCGGGACTGGGGTTGCTCCCGTGGTCAGATGGAAGCTTTTGCTGGTGGGTAATTGGGGAGGAGGGAGGGCGCCAGCAGGAGCTGCTTCATGAAGACAAAACGATGCACGAATTCTTCCTCTCAAGTTCCCTCCTGAACTTGAACATCTGGCAGCTTCCAGACCAAAACAAGAGGCCACTAGAGCAAAGGGACAGGCGACCAGGCCAGTGAAACAGCAGGAGCCCGGGCCAGAAGTGACGGTGCAGGACATGGCGAGGGGAGACCCGGTCCGCGGGGGACCCTGCTCACCCCGCTCGGGCCTCGACGCCCATGCCCAGCTGCCCTCACCTGGATGCCCTCTGCACTGTGCTTGGGCCCTGGGTGCGCCCAGGGGCATCTTTTTTTTTCTTTTTTTTAGTTTTAACTGCCTGTCGACTCTGTGCCGCACACAATGAGGACTCGGTGTGGCGTCCTCTGCCCACACCATTCTTCCCAGACCCGATTGTCAGACTTTTGCACTGATGGTGCTGATAGAAAAAAGTGTTTCTCTTCTGGAAACACTTGCCACAGTAGTTCAGTCTCTTTCCTATTTTTAAACATAGTCACCGTTCATTGTAGCTTTTTTTTTTCATTATTTCATCTATTTCCTTGTTGGGAAAATTTCAACATGATGTTTTTTCTATTTTCCAAGGGCTCACAGGTGCCGTACTTCACATGTGCTTGCGTACGTAGGAGTGTTCGTTGCCAAACACAACAATCCTGGGAGTAAAACTCCCAGAATGCCCCGCCCTTCCTGGGACCCTGTGGCGTGTCCTTCACGTCTCCTGGGACGCGGCACAGCCACAGCAGCTGAGGCTGCCGCCCTTCCCTTCACGCACGTGGCTTTACTCCTTCTGGTTGGACATCTTTTCTGCTGTGAGCCCGGAAGATTGTATCTTTATCTTGGAACCTCTGTAATTTCAGAATATTCTAGGTGTGGATCATTAGGACCTTTCCCTGCCACCCCGCCCCCCAAGACACTGTGTGGATTTTTAACAGCAGATTAAAAGATTTATTTCAGGATAATTTTGCATTAAATGTAATTATTTTTACTTTGGGCTGATGTTTTTCTCTTCTGAGGGAACAGGCAGCTGCATTTGTGGAATGCCCTTTCTCTGTCTCTGTGCCCGGGTCAGCCTCTCCAAACGCTTTTCTATCTCGTTGACTCGAACTTCCCCCAATGTCATTTCCACAGGTCGCGACCTTCATGTGTTTGCAGCCATGTTTGCGTCGGGTCACGTGCTCATGCCCCTGTTCTTCCTTCCCAGCCGTGCCGTCCCTTTTCTGCTCCTTTCTTTCCTGAGACCTGCCCGCCTGCTTGCTCGCTCCGCTTTGTCCAGCATGCCCCTTATCCTTCAGACAAATCCACTGTCCGTCATTTCCTTGGGACCCAGTGGAACCATTTACATGCGTCTATGTTTCTTTGGGCATTTCCTCTCTTCATGTATGTTTTTACTTGCTCTTTGCTTGTATGCTTTTCTTTTCTTTTAACCCCTAAGCTACTGAAGGTGCTACTTCTTTTTTGAATAAAAGGGTTTTTTTGGGAAAGCCTCGAATGGGGAGGAGAGGAGGCTGGGAGGGGCCAGGAGCCTGTCTGTTCCCAGCATGCACAGGAGCGCCTGCTTGGGACGTTCTCCTTTGTGGTTCATTGCTCCTCCCTCACCTCTCTTTCCCCCGCATCCCCTGCACCCATAGCAACGCCCTCTAAGTGGGGCGCAGGCCACGTTCAGTCGGCAGGCCAGTTCTACAATCAGACTTGTGAGGTTGAAAAGTTGACAATACGCAATGTTGTGGGCAGGGTCGGCGTGGATTCATGCCTGTGGACAACAGCAGAAAGCTTTGTACCCTCTCTCGTGCTATCCGCCCACACTGGAAAACACACAGACCTACAATCTGATTTATAGGGATTTGTCTTCGAGACACAGTCACACTTGTGTATCAGCCACACCTGCAAAGATCTTCCTTACGGAATTGCACGCAGCTGCAAAAAACTGAAAACAACTTAAATGCTCACCCAGAGGGAAAGACTTAGACAAATCATAACACGCAGATATCATGGAATGCTATGAAGCCATTAGAAGCAAAAATCTACAGGCATTGCTACGGAGTGATTTTGAAAGCACACTGGGTGGAAGTAGGCAAGTGGCAGAGCGATACCCATAAGGTGCTGCTTTTCCTGGAGGAGAGGAAAGAATACACGTGCGCACACACACACACAGATGCATAGAATTTCTTCAAAGGACCCACAGACACGCATGGGAACCTACTAGCCACAGCACCCAGATGGGGTGAGCTGGGAAGGAGGGAGAGAGTTTGAATCCAAAATTGGGAGCGATCACGTGACTCACCGAGGGTCACACAGCTACAAGGCAGCCAAGGAAAACTTCTAATGGCACCTCACGAATCACTTTTGGGGGGATAATTTTCTCTCAAGGTCATGTTAAAAAAGCAATTTTAGATAGAATGTCACAAAGAGTAATAAAACCCACAGACTATGGATGTGAGTTTTGGTACATTTTCATGTTCTGAAACCCTAAGGTTTAAAGTAGGGGGAAGAGTCCAGCATAAGAGAAGCTCGTGGCCTGACAAACCCTCTGCCTCTGGCGAACTTCCTTCCACCCTGATGTCTCCACCCGGGGTGATTGCTTCACACCTTGTGCAGGAAACTGCCCCACTCCGGGGGAGGGGGCGTGGCCACACACGCACGCAAACAAGCACGGACCCCCAGAAAATACGGAGCCTCCACAAGCAGCAAAAAATGAACCAGCGTGAAGTTTATTTACTGAGACACCCAACTAAGAACCTGTTTGACAACAGAATCCCAGAATCGCAGGGCTTTCTGCCTAAACGAATCCAAGTTCTCGGATAGAGCATTTCAAATGAGTGTCTGCCTTTGTCCATGCTCCGTGGCTGCTTCATGGGATTGGTTCTATTTCTGGCCAGGAACACCCAAGTTACCTTTCGATACACTGAAACATTTCTGCCCTTGAGACTCTAGGCTCCTCATTCAACCACACAGGTGAAAGGGGAGGCTTGAGGGTGGTTTGTCAAGTTCTGGGTGCTGGAGCGATGGAGACCGCTCAGGGGCAGGTGACCCAGAGGGGCAACCACTCGAGGCTTCTGGGGCCTGAGGAGGGCAGACCAAGAGCTGGGGGTTCAGAAGAAAACCTCCCCCACCCCCCAGAGTGGACTGTAGGGAACCCATCAGCACAGCAATGGCGAATGTAGCCCAGTATTGATCCGGAAAACCAGTCAATGTGAGGCGGCACACAGGAGCCAGGTGTGCAGATCAGCTTTCCCTGGGGAACCAGGTGTGCATTGTACCCGGGCTGCTATGAGACTCGCTTTTGCTAAAACTCCCTCACCCTGAGTTGAGACTGTAGACATTTAATGTGCATCTCTGCAGCAACTCCCTAAGTCTGTGCTAAGCCGTCCCAAAGATGAAATGTAACCACATCAGTCATTTTTATCACTCCCTTGCATTTGCAACATTTTTTTCTTTGTTGTCTGTAAGAAGTAATCACTTAAAGTAAACCTGAGAGTAATGAATGATACACCTTCTTTGATGTAATGGGACGGGGAAGCAATAAAAGCCTGTCCAGGCAAGGGTCGAGGCACTGTCCCCTTGAGAGAGTGGCCGTGCCGTCCCTTTTGCTCCCCAGGACGTCTGCCGTCTGTGCGAATTTGCTCACGGCATCCATGACACACGGACTCCAGTGGACTCCAGCAGGCCGGAGTCTGCACCGGTGGCCCCAGCCTCACTTTGCGTCCCACCCAGAGACAGCGCCGGCGTCCTGGAGGTACGCCCCTGCCGTGCTCCAGGGCTCTGCACTTAGGAGGGCTTCCTGCTCCGTGTAACGCTCGTTGTCGCCGTCTCGAAAGTCTTAACATTCTGGAACAAGAGCATTTCCATCTGCCCTGGGCCCCAGAAGTCCCCGGTCTTGTCCAGATAAGGCGAAGTCAGGCCTGTCCCACACGGGACGGCTCATGTCGGCCACAGGAAGTTAGCGACTCATAAAGAGCAGGACTTGCTGGAAAACGCAGACAGAAATGAGCACAGACTGGTCGGGGCTCCACTGGGATTTGGAGAAGGACAGGGCAGGCCTGCCTACGGTGGCTGAGAATGGGAGGGGCACGCTGCTGTCGGGGAAGGGAAGCGGAAACTGCAAACTCAGAGGTTCAGCACTGTTTTCCCCTGACCGCACGATGATGCAAAACCCTAGCTTCCCACATGCTCTAACCGGCTCTGAGAACAGAAACAAGCAGGGGATGAAGAGGGAAGCAGAGACGTGCTGAGGAAAGAGGAGGAGGGGACCGGCTGAGCAGATCCTGGGTGAGGAGCCCCCAGCCCCGGGGCTGGCGGCGGCTGGAGACCCCCAGGGCCATGCGGTTCCCGTGGGCTCTGCTGCTGCTCTGCGCCCCAGGTGAGCGGGGCCTCGGGAAGTCTGCCCTGGCAGACCCGGGTGGACGGAGGGTGGTGATGGGAAGGGGAAGAAACAAAAACGTAAGCAGAGAGGGACAAGGCATGCACCCAAAACCCTGAGGGCACCCTAATTCCTCATTGGGATAGGGTGAGGGTGAAACAGAAAATGCTCTCCGCACCGTGAGCACATACGGAGCCCAGAGTAAACTTCCAGCCATATTAACCATCATTGTTAAAGTCAGGAATACCCCGCAGCGAAGGGGGCGGGGAGCAGAGAACCAGTACTGTTTGGGCTCATCACTGTATTATCTGGCTCCCCCCGCCCCCGCCCCCTGATCTAATCCCTATCGTCATCCTGATCCAACCAAGAGCGGTGCGAATATTTAGTCTAGATCAGCTCATGAAAGACACAGCCAAGATTCAAACGGGAAGTACGCTGACTTCCGAGGTCATTGATTTTTTTATACTAGTATGTCAGCTACTAAGGCCTTGTGCATGGCTGTCCGTGCATCCCCAGGCACTGCCTGGGCTGGTGCCCCAGGTTCTGTGCGATAGACCCGGTGCGGGGTGGGGGTGGGGTGGTGAGACTGAGGGGAACGTGCGGCCAGTCCTGCCCGGAGAGCCCCCATAAACCACGGTGGAAGGGGTCAGACCACTTTTCTTTTTGAGGTGCTGGTGGGCAGAGAGTTTATTCTGGGTGGGGGTCGTAGCGGTAGAGGCGTATCAGAGGAAAGGGAGCCTCTGGGTGGGACTCAGAGTGTCCCTCACAATGTCTTCCCATGAAGACCTGAGGAAGCCGCCCCCGCCCCCCGCCCCCCATCTTCAAGGGTGAGACTGAGACTCAGTGAACAATCCTGCAGGAAAAGCACCACGCTGCTTTAGCAAACTGGGGAACAGCGCCCCCAGAGGCAGATCCCGGAACAGCAGCAAATGCACTGGGCTTCATGCAGCGGCAGGGGCCCCCCCTGCCAGCCCCAAGCCTGTGCTCAGAGGTCCCTGGTTGCCGCAATTTGTCCCCTCCAGCAAGGCTCCTCAGTCAGCGCTGTGGACACCGAGGCGGGGTTATCCTGTGCTGTGGGGCTGTCCTGTGCGCGGTGTTTATTTAGCATCATCCCCGGCCTTTACCCTCCAGATGCCAGTAGCGCCCACCCCCACCCCGCCCACTCTGTGACAACAAAAACATCCTAAAACACTGCCAAACGTCCCCTGGGGGCAGGATCACCCCTGGTTCAGAACCGCTGCTTCAGGGGGCAGCGGCGGGCGAGGCGGACAGCATTCTGGGGCAGAATACAGGTCAGCGGGCCACCCGAGCTTGGGAGCTAACATGAGAAAGTGCCAGATCGTTAACACTGAAGAAGCAAAAGTGGTCGGCTTTCTTTTCGTTTTGGAATAAAATACAGCAAATGTCTGACCATCTGTGGATGACCATATATTGCCTGGATAGGCGGATGGGTGGGTGGGTGGAGGGAGGGAAGGAGAAAGGAAGAAAGGGAGGGATGGATGGACATATGGACAGATGAACAGACGGACAGACAGAGAGGTGATGGGCGGATAGACGCCACGCACGACTCTTCTTCGGAAACTTGGTACTTCTGCCAGAGCTGCTCTCAGGAGCCTGCGCCGTGGACAGAGCCCCCTCCTGTCCAGACCTGGGCGGCCAGCACGTGTTCTGTGGAGTGAGGGTGACTCCACAGTGGGGGGCAGAGGTTTCAGGGGCCTGGGTCCTAGTCAATCGCAACTGGAGCTGCCAGAGAGACTGGAGAGGCAACGTCAAGGTCGTAGAGGTGGTGAAGGACCGGAAGGTGGGATCTGGGGTGTGACAGGGCCGGCAGGGGCTGTGGAGGAGCAGGGGATGGAAGGGACCGCCACGGGCCATCCATGTGGGGCCAGGAGTCCCTACAGATCTCAAGTGATGGCAGGGGTTGCTGCAGTGTTCTGTTCCGGGCGGGAAACCGAAGCATGACTGTCCCCGAAGCATGGCTGACAAGAGCCCCTTCTGAAATAGCCGCCTTCTACCCTGGCCAACTCTCATTTCCGGGGTGGCCCGGACCTGCGAGCAGGAGGTCCCACCTGTGTGAGCAGGGATGATGAACTTGGGGTCCACAGGTGAGCACTGGGGACAGGGACATAGCCAGCAGCTGAAGGCTTCCTCGTCATTCTCAACACTGGGCTTTATCTAATTTTCCCCGGTCCCCATTCTTATTTTCCGTTTTCTTGTCCATCCATCCATCCATCCCTCCATCCCTCCCTTTATATTCAGTGGCCTCATTCAATTCTCAGTAATGACTGGAGACAGGAGTCTTTTCTCCGGACGGATGCTTCTGGGGGCCCAGAGCCTGCCTGGGGTACCAGTCTTCCTCCCCCTCACACTGAGAGTCGGTTGAGCACTCAGAGGGGGGCGTGGCCTCCCGAGGCTCAGACCCCCACAGCAGGGGTCTCCTCAGACCTCCCTGTGTCTGCAAACAGCTTTCACCTGCTGCGTCCCGACGCCCCCTTCCTCAGGCCTCGGGGTCACTTCCGGAAGACCTGCCACCAAAGGCCCCTGCAGCCCAGGCTCTTTGGGATGAAGACGAGACCACCCGTGTCTTCCAGGTTCATTGTCTCTGCGCGGCCCCAGGAACGTGACGGGCACCGAGGGCGGATCCCTGAGCGTGTCGTGCCAATACCGGGAGGAGTATAAGAGATTTACCAAATACTGGTGCCGACAGCCATGCCTGCCATTGTTCTCTGACACCGTGGAGACCAGCACCTCGGGGGAGGAGGTGAGGAGCGGCCGAGTGTCCATCGCGGACCATCCCGGAAACCTCACCTTCACCGTGACCTTGGAGAACCTCACTGCAAGTGATGCGGGAAAGTACAGGTGTGGAATTTCCACGATCATGGTGGAAGATGGGCTTCTTGGCATCTTGCCTGATCCCCTTTTCCAGGTTCAAGTGTTTGTTTCCGCAGGTAAGACCCTCCTTCCTTCTGGGCCGACAATGAAGGGGTCTGAGCTACTCTGTGCAGAGCATCCCCGGGAAACGTGGACGCAGGAGACAGGAATCGGGCCTGGGGTTTGAGCTTCAGAGAGCCAGGACCAAGTGTGTTGTGTGGACGGGGGTGTGTGGGAGGTGTGTGTGAGTGTGTAAAAGTGTGAGTGTGTGTGTGACACCCGAGTTTCCTGCCACCGCCCCAGCTCCTGACCATGTCCTGGGCCTCAGGGTGTAGGCGGGAGGGCCCTGGGCCGTCGGGTCCATGGGGACCGGGGGCCTCATGCTCCTTTCCTGTCCACCCAGGGCTGGATAGGAGCCTTCTCTCCCTCTCTCCCCGCTCCCTCCCTTCCTTCTTCCTAGCTTGTTCTTCTTTCTCAAGAGCTGCATCTTCCCCTATCAATCTGAAGGTGCTTTTTCTTCTGCTGCCTGCATTGTCTCAGCTTCCTCTGGGACTTTTTCTCTTCACGTCGGTGTCTCCCTCCCATGCTGGGGGCCGCCCTCAGAACGTTTCATGTATGTGCCCTTGAGAGCGCAGCCCCCCAGAGACCGGCTGTGAACTCAGTGGTGAGAGAGGCCCTGGGGGTCAGCAGGAGATGCCCCCCCTTTACGTGACTGCCCAGAGACTCAGCTCTTTCCCTCGGGTCCCTCGGTGTCTGAGCCTGGAGGTTCTTGCTCCGAGCTGGCCACTGGCCCAGGGAGGGCGCTCCAGGCTCCTGCCTGGGGGAGTGCAGGCGAGGCTGCCGGTGTCCGAGGAGCTGGGTGGGCTGAGGGGCCTGGGGGTCCCACCTGCCAGAGATTCCACCTCTTTGGGGCCGCTAGCATTTCCCAGCCATCCGCGGTGTGAGGTGCCCTTGCTTTCCCGCTTCCCTGAATCGCCCGTATGGCCCTCCGCCAGGGGTGGGCGTGGGGAGTGATAAGTGGATGGGCGGCAGCGGGGGTGGAACCTGAGGTCTAGCTCTTGGTCTGACCTTCAAGCACTCCCGTGTGCAGTGAGACGAGGGACACCTCGTGCTCAAAGGCAGACGGTGACGTATCTCCTGTCCTGGTTGATAAAGTGTGCACTTAGCTGCAGAGCACAGTGGCACTGGGCGGGATGGGGAGACCCCTCCACTCTGGCCAGGCCTGGGTCTGACTGTGGCCACAGGACGGTCTCAGGGCACCTGTTCAGCCCTTGCCCTCAGCTCCCTCTGCTTTACGAAGTCAGGACCACGCAGGTGACAGGTACCAGGTGGGGACAGGCACTGGGCCCTGTTCCTCACCCTTGCCCTCCACCACAGCCTCCAGCAGCAACATCCATTCAGGGACACCCGGACCTCCCAGCCAAGACCCAGGGTAAGGTGCCCGCGGCCCCGCGTCTCCCGCCCTCCGCACGGCTCCTTCCCCCGGGGCAGGGCTGCCCACACAGCGGCCTCCTCCGTGGCTCACTCACTCAGCGGACGCTGACTTTACACCTTCCGTGCCAGAAACCAGTGCAGATGCTGGGGTGTGAGAGCGACCCCACGGGCAGGTTGTGCTCTCCGGGGAGTTTCTTTCAAATTCGGACAAGGACCAAATGGGCAGACAGCTACTCACACACACTCACACACACACACACACACACACACACACACACACAGATGATAGAGAGACAGATGTGCTGGGATGGACGGATAAACATGACAGATTATAAAGGTGACAGGTACACAGAGGAAATGCCAGTGGATGATAATTGTCGAGGGGAAAAATCAACAGGCGGGACATTGAGGGACCGGGTGACGGGGTGTGGTGGCGATTGGGGGTGCAGTGAGGGCTACGGAGGCGCTCGATGAAAACAAGCACCAAAGAGACCGTCATAGCCAGGTGTCCTCCAAATCAGACCCTGAGACGAGAACGGAGGGGTGCTCAGTGTGCAGAGAGGTGAACCCAGGGAGTGTAGTGAGGGAGCGGGAGCTCAAGGAATGAGTTACGAGTTAACACAGCGCCCCCGCCCCCCTGCAGCAGCTGGGCTCCACCCCGGGGCACCGCCCCCCGGGCACCCTCAGGGAGGTTGTTAGGACATCGCTCAGGACCGCCCCGCCGAGCAGTGAGGAAGCTGGGGCGGTGACCCACACTCGTCCGTCCTCGAGGGGGTGGGGAAGGCGGCCGGTTCCCTATTTCTATACGTAGTGACGCGCAAAGGCCTCTCCCATGGCGACATCGGAGCCGAGACTGGAAGGAAGCGGGAGAGCTGACCAAGCGAGAACGCGGAGGAGGAGTGTTCCAGGCAGAGGGTCACTCCTGGGCCTGAATTCGGCAGCACGGCTGCCTGGCCTGCTCTGCTCAGCAAGCCTGCGCACGCACCCCTCCCGCTGGAGAGAGAACCCTCAGGCGGGGGGTGGTGGGGGTGGGGGCAGGGGCTTGAGGGGAGAAGCCGCTGGCAGGTCCAAGGCTGTCCACAGCCCCCAGAGTTGCACGTGGGCAAAGAGGACGCGGGGCAGGATACCCACAGGTGTGCTGCATTCTCGAGGAGCCGGGGTGGGTGGGGCAGTGGGCGGGCGCCGAGGTGGGCGGGCATCGGCCGAGAGCTGAGCCTGGGGCGGCTGCTCCTTGGGGCGGAGGCTGTTGGAGGCTTTAAGCAGAATATCCGCTCCCGCGGTTATATTTAGGGAGGAGCCAAGGCTTTGATCTGAGTGTGGAGGGGACATAAGGGGATGTTCATCCTTAAAGTTGGCCACAGCGAGAGCTGAGTTCCTGTGCGTATTGATGGCTCAGGGGTCAGTACGTGGGCTCAGGTCGCTGTCTGTGGGAGCCAGGGCCTGCCTGGGGCCCCACACCTGTCTTTCCCCCCATTTCTCCCCCCTCCCCCCATTCTTATGCATCTGCGGGGTCCTGGCACTCAAAGTCGTTCCTGACCTAAATGGCGGATGGGAGCCCATGGCCATCGGCCTGGGGCTGTCTGGCTCTGGTGCCCACTGGGCTCAGTGCTGACATTGAGCTCTGGGGCCACGGGACCTGACCTCAAAGGCAACTGGGGAGAGGCAGAGCCAGGGCCTCTGGTTTCAGGAGGAAACTCACTGCCGGCCACTCTGTTCCCTGCACAGGTCCCTGCTCAGCAGCGTCCACTTCCTGCTCCTCATATTCCTGAAGGTCCCCCTGTTTCTGAGCATGCTCAGTGCCGTCCTCTGGGTGCACAGGCCGCAGCGGGCAATTTGCGGGCGAACGCAGTCCGACTAAGACAAGCCACAGCCGTCCTTGCCCAGTGAGCGATGTCCTGTCCAGAGACACAGCCACTCGCACTAGAGAAGAGGGAACCTCTGACCCTGAACCTTACATCCCTTTTCAACTAATCGCCAGAGACTTTAAAAACAAACCTTAAATTTTTTTAATGCAATATGTCACCCATGCAAAAACATGTGTGTAATGTACACGAACAGTGTGCTTTTCCTTAGACGTTTGAGACACAAGACAAAAGAACACATTCCAGACCGTAGCCTCCTACAAATGGGGTCTGAGACAGACCCTGAGACTCTGCAGAGTTTCTCTTTACTTCTGGGGCAGCTGAGTCTCATCGGGGCGCCTGCGCACTCGCTTCTCCCTGCTCTCCCGACTAGTGACCCAGCACCATGTTCTCTGGACTGTCCGCTCGAAGTCCCCTCCCTCTGCGCTGTGACAGAACGGAAGACTCGCCATAGTCCCAGGCTGACAATGAATGGTTCTGAACTGTTCTCTTCCGAAGCAGATGGGCACTGCTTCCGACCACCGTCCTCCACAGGGATCGGAAACCATGCACCTGCCACATCGCCAACAGCACACTGAGCACCAGAGGCCGTTCTCACACAGACGGTACATCAAGGAAAGCGATTGCATCCTGGCTGGTGTAGCTCAGAGGATTGAGCACGGGCCTGAGAACTGAAGCGCTGCCAGTTCAATTCCCACTCAGGGCACATGCCTGGGTTGTGGGCCAGGTCCCCAGAGAGGGGTACACAAGAGGCAACCACACACTACTGTTTTTCTCCCTCTCTTTTTCCTCCCCTTCCCCTCCCTCTAAAAATAAATAAATAAAATCTTTAGAGGAGGTGGGAAAAAAAGCAATGGCTATTGGGCCATCAGTTGGTCAAGTTTAAGGGGGTCCTCCACTGTTACGTGGCCGCACTCATCTCAGTTTGTCAAGAATCAGATGAGCGAACCAAGCACATATTTGAAAACGAACCCAGAATTTGTTTTCAGAGGGTGCAGTAAGACATGCAAATGTGGAAATGACTGTCACAAAAGAAGAAGTCTGTACTCATCAATCCCACTCACTCCACAGGCCACCAAGGCAGCCCAGGATCCCCGGGGTCAGGCAGCAGGCAGAGGGAGAGAGAGGAACTCAGGGAGGGGGACTTTCCTGTGGTTCTTGTGGGAAGGAAGGGGTGGAGCAAGGTAAAGAAACCACCAGGTTAGGCCTGAAGAGTTTGAGTAAGTCTGGCAGGCCCTGGGCGGTGGGAGTGGCCCCTCGACCTTAGACTCAGCCTTGGGATGATTTAGTGCCGGGTCACACTGTCCCAGGCCCAGGAGCCTGATACACGTAGATCAGCGGGGGCAAGATTGGGGGCTGTCAGTTTGCAGAAGGCAGGCTTGCAGGCAATTCTGGCTATCTTGAGGAATTAGCTAACCAGGGAGGGGCAGCTCCTCCCTGGGTCCACAAGGCCCCAGGATGTTAAAGCATCATAGAGTATAAACTTTAAAAACCCACAGGATTCATGGAGATAACTAGTAGAGTAATAGTTCATAGTAGTGCATAGTAATAATGAATAGACGTTAATTGGTGGGGATGGGAGGGTGCTCACCACGCCTGCTTCCCGAGACCTTGCAGGGGGCATTGGTCTCTGCCTCCGCACTCAGGGTCTGTCATGGCTTGTAGCTCACTGTCTGCATGGGGAGGAGCACAGTTGCAGAACTTTGCTACCATGATAGCTTTTACACCCTAGGGTATCAGGCCAACGTGAGGTTTCTGTCGGCTCTTAAGAATATCAGTCCTGGCCCTGGCTGGTGTGGCTAGGTGGACTGAGTGTGGGCTGCAAACCAAAGGGTGACAGGTTCAATTCCCAGTCAGGGCACATGCCTGGGTTGCGGGCCAGGTCCCCAGTAGGGGGCGTGTGAGAGGCAACCACACATTGATGTTTCCCTCTCTTTCTCCTTCCCTTCTGTCTCTAAAAATAAAAATCAGTCCTGATTGTGCCATTATGAGTCTGGGATGTGGCCACAGGCAAAGTCCACAGAGTTGGAAGCTTGGGTAGAGAGGCAGTTTCCCTGGTTGGGACCCTTCCCCCATGCCCAAGCCACGTGTCTGTCAGAAGGCTTGCTGGTGGGGGAGCTCTGGCCCAGTCACTGACCATGGAGAGCTGGGCCAAGGGGGACCTTCTCAGTTCCATAGCCAGGTCCCCTAAAATTACCTGAAGGTTCAGCCTTGCACCAGCCCCAGAACCAGGAGACGAAGCCCAGGAAGTCCTCTCTGGACAGGACAAGATTGGTGTCCCAGCTGAAGTGGTCAGGCAGGAAGGGGTGACTTCCTCCTTCCTCTGCCCGTCATTCTGTTCAGGCCCAAATGGATGGGGGATGCCACCCACATCCGGCAGGGCGACTACTTTACTGAGTCCGCTGATTCAAAGGCTAATGTCACACACAGAGACACACTCGCCCAGACACACCCCCAAATAAGGCTGAATCTGGGCGCCAAGGCTGACACAAGTTAACCATCACAACACAGACTCAGACGTGAAGTCCAATTCCCTAATTGCTGTTGCTTGTGCTCTGTTCGGCTGCGGGGCCTTCCAGCCCATGGGCACAGCCAGGGGCTGGCAGACACTGTGTTCAGCTCAGAGAGTGTTGTCGGAAAAGGACGGTGCGCTGAGGACGTGACAGGGCAGGGAGAGAGTGGCGAGTGGGAGGAGTTAGCAAGCGCTGACTCCCTGTGAACTTCTCAGTTTGGGTTCCCATGGCACCAGCTGCCTAACAAGCCCTCTCTTCTGCTTCCTGCGTCTGAAGATTGTGTTTTATTGGCTATTCCCTCCCCTGCAGAGTCATGGTGGGTGGGGCAGAAGGACACTTGGGCAGTTGTCCGCGAGAGGATTCCGGGTTCAGATGCTGATGTCATCACTTATAACCTGCTTCTGGTCAGTTTGCTTACTCTCTGATCTGTAGGCAAGGTGGTTGAAAGAAATATATATATTTTCTTCTTTGTTATGTGACAAAAGACCCATAAAGGATAAGAGAGGTATAATTTCCTGCTTGGGTTTTTAGATCCTTTCATTGAAGTATAACGTGTGCGAACTCTGGGGGGAAAAACAGGACACCTACTAAGAGGGGTTCCCAAGGGCTAACAGGTCTCAAATTAAAAAAAAAACAAACAGACAAAGAGATTATAACTTTTGGCCAAGATGGGGAGGTAAATAAACACACTGTGCCTCCTTGCACAACCCAAAGAAAGACAACAACAATTTAAAAACAAAAAACAACCAGAACTGATAGAAAATTGAACTGTATGGAAGTCCAACAACCAAGGAGTTAAAGAAGAAACAGTCACCTGGACCGGATGGAGTTGGGCAGCTGGGCAGAGAGGACTCACGGCAAGATAGCAGCTGGCAGACCCAGTGAGGAGGTGGGTTGTGGACCGGGTGGCCCCACATTCGCATGCAGATAAACCGGGAGGAACAACTGGGGAGTGGGACAGACTACACAACCCAGGGCCCCCGCTCGGGGAAATAAAGCCTCAAACCACCAATTGAAAACACCTGTGGGGGTTGAGGTGCTAGGAGAGACTCCCAGCCTCACAGGAGAGTTTGTTGGAGAGACCCACTAGGTCCTAGAATGAACACAAGCCCACCCACTGGGAATCAGCACCAGAAGGACCCACTTTGCTTGTGGGGAGTGGGGGAAGTGACTGAAAACAGGCAGAGAACGGAGCAAGCACCACTGTTCCCTCTGGGACCCTCTCCCACATACAGCATCACAACACAGCCAGGTGGGTTGCCCCGCTGTGGTGAAGAGCTAAGGCTCCACACTCACTACGTCGTAACAGGTGTGCCGAGACAAAAAAAAAATGTCCCAAATGAAAGAACAGATCAAAGCCCCAGAAAAAATAGAACTAAGCGATGAAGACATAGCCAACCTATCAGATGCACAGTTCAAAACACTGGTAATCAGAGTGCTAACAGAATTGGTTGAATTTGGTCAACAACTAGATGAAAACATGAAGGCTATGCTAAGTGAAATAAAGGAAAATGCATAGGCAACCAACAGTAATGGGAAGGAGACCGGGACTCAAATCAACCTTGTGCGCCAGAAAGAAGAAAGAAACATCCAACCAGAAAAGAATGAAGAAACAAGAATTCAAAAAAATGAGGAGAGGCTTAGGAACCTCCAGGACATCTTCAAACATGCCAACATCCGGATTATAGGGGTTCCAGGAGGACAAGAGAAAGAGCAACAAGTGGAAAACTTATTTGAACAAATAATAAAGGAGAACTTCCCCAATCTGGCAAAGGAAATAGACTTCTAGGTAGTCCAGGAAGCTCAGAGTGTCCCTAAGAAGTTGGACCCAAGGAGGAAAACACTAAGGCACATCATAATTACATAACCCAAGATTAAAATTACGGAGAGAATCCTAGAAGCAGCAAAAGAAAAGGAGACAGTTACCTACAAAGGAGTTCGCATCAGACTGTCAACTGATTTCTCAAAAGAGACCTTCCAGGCAAGAAGGTGTTACAGAACAAACAAGGGGGGGGCCCAGGACGATATACTATTATTAAAAGAAGCCCCCAGGTCCGTTATGTCTGCCACCAGAGGAAAGACATCTCTCAATGCCAGAGATTTGTGAAAAGGAAAGGAAACGTTTATTTAATGCTATACAAACTTAAAGTAGGGACCTAATGTCTTCCCTAAAGTCCCTTAAAGCACCCTCAAACAGACACAGTCCTTCCTTCCTTCCCCCTTTGCCCAGTCCAGAGGACCGTATCTCCTAAAGCTGCGGGGGTCCCTACTCTGGCAAAGGCACGTGGTCCTCTCTCCCCGGACCACGGGAGTCCCCACTCTGCCAGAGCCGCGTGGTTCTCCCTCTCAGGGCTGCGGGAGTCTCCACTCCGTCAACGCCGTGTGGTTCTTTCCCTCAGGGGCCGAGAGAGTCTTCACTCTGCTAAACTGTGTGGTTCTCTCTTGCAGGGCTGTGCATGGTTCTCCCCTTGCCATGGCTGCTGCATCTCGGTTTGAATCCCAGTGCCAATCTTCCTCTGAAGCCCCATTTCCAGCTCCTCTCACAATTGGCTACAGCTGCCAGATTCTGGGCAGGTGTGGCCCTGTGGTGTGGAGCCAATTATCTCCAGGCTCTTCTGGATCTTATTACAGACCCCTATTTGAGGCTCCCCTCTTGGCTGCCCCCTCTTACAAAGCGGCTGGAAAGAAATATTCCAAGTCATGAAAGGCAAGGACCTACAGCCCAGATTGCTCTATCCAGCTAAGTTTTCATTTAGATTGGAAGGGCAGATAAAGTGCTTCCCAGATAAGGTCAAGTTAAAGGAGTTCATCATCACCAAGCCCTTATTATATGAAATGTTAAAGGGATTTATCTAAGGAAAAGAAGGTAAAAACATGAACAATAAAATGACAGCAAACTCACAACCATTAACAACCACACCTAAAAGAAAAACAAAAGCAAACTAAGCAAACAACTACAACAGGAGCAGAACTACAGAAATGGAGATCACATGGAGGGTTAGCAACAGGGGCGTGGGAGGAGGGGGGTGAAGGCACAGAGAATAAGTAGCACAGACGGTAGGTAGAAAATAGACAAGGGGAGGGCAAGAATAGTATAGGAAATGTAGAAGCCAAAGAACTTTTATGTATGTCCATGGGCATGAGCTAAAGGGGGGAATGTGGGTGGGAGGGGAGTGAAGGGGGGAAATGGGACAACTATAATAGCATAATCAATAAAATATATTTAAAAACCCCAAAGAACACAGGGCCTAGAAGCCATATCTGCACAGGGCTCCTCACTCAAATTGCCCCTCGTGGAGGAGCCGGAACCGAACTGCCTACCTCTGCACTGTGCTGCGGCCAACTGAGCCAGCCTTCCTAGCAGTTCCCTGGAATCCTAATTCGACCAATAGGATTGAGGCTTCCCCCATCTAATCAGAGCTGTGCAGCTATAGAGCTGACCAGTCAGAGCAGCTCTATTCTAACCAATCAGGACAGTGCCTTTTGGACCAATCACACTTCAAGGATTGGCAGCCCTCATTTTCGTGAGGACGGACCAATCAGGGACCAGGAGCGGGGACTTGCACCCCTGTGAGCCAGCCTCTGGAGGGCACCTGCCCCTTCCACGCCAGAAGGGGGACTAGGTTTCCCTGGTGGAGCGGAGCTGACCAGTGCAGTGCAAGGCAGACTGGCATGGAGCAGGGCAGGCCGTGGAGAAGCAGAGCAGAGCTGTCTAGCCCCAGGAGGACCTGGCCTCAGGGCTGCCTGGCCCCACGGATGTTCTACATGCGGCTGTATCACAATTGAACTGTTTTGCGTTGAATAAACTTTCCTTCTTCATCATCCCCAAATTGGGGATTCTTATTGGCATTGAATCGGTGCCAATGACCACCCGTTGACACGTAAAACAAAGTTATACAAGTCATAAACTATACAACTCATGGAGATTTTGGAAAGTGACCCTTCTTGTGTAGCCACCACCCAGATCAGATGGCCCTACCTTCATGTGGGTCCCTTCAGCACCGTATCGGGGTGGGCCTGGGGATCCTGGACAAGGCAGAAGCAATGGTGTATGACTTCCAGGGACAGGTCATAAAATAGGCTGTGCCTGCTGTCTGTTGGATCTTTCTCTCTGGGAGGAGCTAGTTGTGATGTCATGAAGTCACTGAATCAGCTCCACTTTCCCCCCCCCATCCTAAGAGAGAGAGAGAGAGAGAGAGAGAGAGAGAGAGAGAGGGAGGGAGGGAGGGAGGGAGGGAGGGAGGGAGAGAGGGAGAGGGAGAGGGAGAGGGAGAGGGAGAGGGAGAGGGAGAGGGAGAGGGAGAGGGAGAGGGAGAGGGAGAGGGAGAGGGAGAGGGAGAGGGAGAGGGAGAGGGAGAGGGAGAGGGAGAGGGAGAGGGGGAGAGAAAGAGACATTGACATTGACTCAAGAGAGGAGCATCCATTGCTTGCCTCCTGGGGATCGAACCTGCAACCTAGGTATGTGCCCTGACAGGGAATGAAACCCACAACCTTCTGGTCTACAGGACGACACTCCAACCAACCCAACCACACTGACCAGGGCGCCCCGTCAGCTCTCCTGAGCAAGGACCCAAGGTTCCTGTCAGCAGCCCTGGAGGGCGCCGAGTTGGGAACAGGCCCTGCAGCCCCAGTCCGGCCTTCGGGGGAGGGCAGCCCTGGCCGACACCCCGACTACCTGTCCATGAGACAGACGCCCTGAGCCAGAACGACCCAGGTAAGTACTCAGGTGTTGGTCTCTCAGGAAGGGTGACACGAAAAGTGTTTTCAGCCGCTAAGTTTTGGGAGGTTTGTTACCCAGGTAGATATTAGCTAATGCAGGGGGACCACACTTGCCTAGGGCCAGTCTCGGCAGACAAGTCAGTCACTCATTCCCCTAAAGCCAGACTTAGCAAACATGTCTCACCAGCCAACCATCTGTCACACACTGAAGTCGGGCGCTGGGTCATTCATTCAGGGACAAATGCCGCTGCGACATAAGCTACATCCTAGTGGGGGGGAAGGGGAGGAAGCACCCAAAGGAAACTTGCAGCTGTGTTTGGTGGGCTGTGGGGGAAATAAACAGGGGTCCCCGACAAGCAGAGTGACCCCTGGAAGGGTGAGCAGGGAAGCCTTTGTAAGGAGGGGTCATCCGGGTGGGACCGGAAGGACAGGGAGGGACAAGCGGAGAGACAAGTGGGAAGGGACGCAGGGACAGTGAAGAGCAGGCGCCCAGGCCAGGGGAGGGACGGCACTTCGGGGGCGGGGGGAGTGAGACCCCAGCCAGGTCCGCTAGGGCCGTGGAGGCCCAGCGAGGAGAGTGGGCCTCACGGAAAGGACGTGCAGCAAGGAGTGGTGTTGACCGCCTTTGACCTCTGCTGACCCTTGCTGACAAGGGGGGAAGAGAGGGAAAGGGCACCGGGGGCGTCAGGAGAAGCGGGACGTCACCACATGTGCAGAGGGCAGGGGACGCCTGCACGTCAGAGGAAGAGGAGGGGGAAGGGCGGCTCAGGCAGAGTTCTAGTGAGCACTGATGGGGCGTGAGGACAGGAGGACCCTGTGGTCCAGGGTCGTGGGGGCGGCCACCTGCCCTGGGCTGCCAGTGGGTGTGGAGAGAGTTTTCAGGGGGAAGTGGATAGACCTGGGCGGTGCAGCACGGGGCTGAGAACCAGCGTGACCAGGAGAGACGTTACAGTAGGCCGTGCACCTTGCCCCGCCTCCCGCCCTTTCCCAGGTAGATTGGTCCCACAGCCGCCGTGTCATGAGCACAAGGAGCTACTGCCCCCTCTGTCCTCACCTGCTGCGGGGAAAGGCCTGTCTCCTGTCATGGCCTCCAGTGCTGAGGGACCTGAAGGGACCTGCACCCCAGGGCACGCTGACCCAGGCCCATCTGGAGAGACAGGCATGGGAACAAATGACCCTGAGGGTCTGGGCCACATGCTGGGTTAGGACAGAGCTGCCTCCCTGCCCTCTGGGAAGGGCCATCCTGTCTCTGCCCCTGGGACAGGCCCCTGTGAGCCCCGCAGGGCCACCAGCAGCCGGGGCCTCTGGTGGACACGCCTCTCTGTGCCGTTGGGTGCAGAGGCAGGGCTCGGTCTCTGCTTTGCAGGGTCCCCCACGTTCCAGTCTACTTGCCTCACACCTGTGAGCCCTCTCTGCCCACCCCGGGCCTCTGTCCAGCCAGGGTCTCACGGTGGAGCCGGCTTCCGGGGGGAGGGCGCGTCACAGAGTGCCAGCCGCTCCACACCTGTGTCTGTAGAACAGGGAAACACAGGAGGGGAGACACGGCCTTGGATGGGACCCCCGGAGCCAGGGGGACCTTTGGAGGCATCTGAGGGCGTCATGCCAACCTGTATGGGGAGGACAGTGGGGTCTCCCCGGGGTCAGAGCTCTCCTGGTGTCTGGAGCCACCTGCTGGAGGGTGGTGACACCTCTGTGTCACCGGCAAGGCCAGAGGGGATGCAAAGGTCTGGCCTTCCTCTGCAGGACTGTCTATCCTGACCACAAGGAAGTGACACATCACAGAGGGTGGGGACACCAGGCCGAGGAGGAAACATCCCAGCCTGGCTCTGCCCTGTGGAGCTCAGTGTGACCGAGGGAGGGGAAGCTGTGTGCTCTGAGGAGGGGCTGCACCTCCCTGGAGGAGGGACACGGCCTGCAGTCTGTCATGAGGGCCCTGCGGGCCTGTGCAGCTTCCTGCCCCCGACCATCCCCAGCACCGCACCCCACCGAGGTGGGGCAAGGAAGCAGAGAGGCCAGAAAAGCAGAAGCGAACACAGGAAAATCGAGCCCTCTGGGGGGGCTGGACCTGTTCCACACAGAGGGCTTGGTGTGGCCGCAGGTGGTGTCTGTGCTGGAGAAATGACCCCCAGGGTCTGGGCCGCATGGCTGCCCTCTGCTGTGTTCCTCCTGCAGGCCCCAGGTGAGTGGGGCTGGGCCCCAAGTGGGGGAGAGGAAGAACCCGGTGGGGTGGGTGGGGAGCAGCCTGACGGGAAGGAGGGAGGGCAGGGGAGGGAGGGCAGGGGAGGCCGAGAAGCTGCCAGGACCAGCACCTGCCTCAGCGGCGACCCAAGGATTCTGTGCATAAAGCAGGCAAGTCTCCTGCGCTGTGCTGGACAGAGTGGCACTGATGGGAGAGGGTCTGTGACTGTCACCCTAACTGTCATAATGGGGATATGGCCTTGGTACATCCCACACACACTCACACGCACCTGTGCACACACACGTGTATGTGCACACACTCAGTTTTTACCCATCGCGGCCCTTCTTGTCTCCAAGGACACCCTGTCCCTGCGTCCCCTCTGGGAGGAGGGAGCTACTTCCCCCTCACCCCTCGCCTGGTGGGAGGAACGGCCCCTCTCCTGCCATGGACCCAGCCCTGAGAGCCCTTGAGGGGCCTGCACCCCAGGGCACCCCAACCCTGGCCCATCTGGTGAGGAGCGGGGACTGGGCTGTGTCTTCCAGGCTGTTTGGCCCTGAGCGGCCCCCGCACCGTGAGGGGCACCGTGGGGGGATCCCTGAGCGTGCAGTGTCGGTACGAGAAGGAGTTCAGGTGGAATGATAAATACTGGTGTGAAGACCCATGTACGCGTCTGCTGAAGAACAAGATCGTGGCGACCACGGGGTCAGAGAGAGAAGTGAGGAGGGGCCGCGTGTCCATCAGGGACCACCCAGCCAACCTCACCTTCACTGTGACCTTGGAGAACCTCAAAGAGGATGATGGAGGCACATACTGGTGTGGGATCAACACACCATGGCCACAAAGACATTTGGACCCCAACTTTCAGGTTGTGGTGACTGTGTCCCCAGGTGAGCCACGCACCCCCTCCCCTTGTCCCAGGGCCAGGCTGCCTGACCTGTGCCTGGTCACCCTGTCAGTCTGAAGAGCAGGGTGAGCTGGGGGCAGGGGACGGTGATCAGGACACGATGTGTGTTACGTGCACATACGCAAACACACCTCTGGCTGTTCCAGACCCCTCTGAGCGCCACGCCCTGACACAGGGTCCGGCCTGGGTCGGTCCTGGGTGGGGCCGGTTGAGAACGGCCCGGCTCCGGGGACATGCTGCCCTCCAGTCCCCACGAGAGCCGTGTCCACTCTGAAGGGGACCCCGTGTCCCTCCTGCTCTTCTCTGGGTCGTCCCTATGGGGACTGCTCGGCTGGGACACGTCCTCCTCTCACCACAGGCCGTCCTGGACCTGGTCCGAGAGGGGACGTCACCGTGGGTGGCCCTGGGCACCAGCCTCACGGCCGTGGTCCTGGCGTCTGCAGCGGCCATGAGAGGGGCTCAGGAGAAGACCCCCGGGCTCCCCTCCAGGGCTCCTGGGGTGTTTGGGGGACCAACCTGCACCTTTAGGCTGACCTTGTATCTCCCCCTCTTACTCTGAGTCCTTGTGCCCCCCAGAGGGAGCCCGGAGACACCCCGACAGTACCTCCCTCAGACAAAGGAGAGGAAAGAGGGTGGAGCGGGCTCTCCTGTATTACGCCCCTGAACTTGCTCCCGTGTTCTCCCAGCAACTCTCCTTGCCAGACGGCTGCGCCTGTCTCCGAGGGAAGACCACCCGTCCCAGCTCACAGACCTTCCCCTTGTGCTGGTCACGTGGTCCTGGCTCCACCCACTTCCTTCTTGGGGTTCCCACTTTCTTATTCTCACGTTCTCACCCGGGAGGGGCCTCAGCACCCCTTGTGAGTTCCTATTTTAGAGAGAGGAACCGAGACCCCATGGAGACCTCCGGGTGTGTCAGGGGAGGGGTTTGTCCCATGGCCTCCAGGGCAGGCCCCGTTCTGGGGTGCCCACTCGACGTGTCTCTCTAGATCTTTCTTTCTGCTCGTGTCCTCTTCCAGAGAGGACGCCCCTGTGGTCGCTGGAAACCTAGCCAACAGCCTGGGGGACTGAGTGGACATTCTGGGCGCACCGCTACAACAAAACGCTAGGGACCAGTCTGGTAGCTCACCGACCACACAGGTGTGCGGCTCACCTCTCCGGAGGCGGGAAGCCGGAGCTCAGGGGCCTGCGCGTGGGCGAGGGCCGTGCTCCGGGCTGCCGTCTGTTGCACCCGCACGTGGTGGTCGGTCCTCCCTTATTAGGAAGCTAATCCCGATGATGAGGGTTCTGGCCACCTCCCAGTGACCTCCTAATCCCACCCCGCTGGACGCCGGGTTCCCCATGGAAGGATCTGGGGCACACAAACATTCACACCGTGGCCTGTCCTGAGGGACTGTGGGGCCCCGTCCTTCAGGGCTGACCCCGCTGCGTGTCCCTGTTGCCTGCGGCTCTCCTCAAGCCGTCAGCTCTGCCTGCGGGCCCTGGCCACCCACCGCTCTGGCCAGTCACTACTGAGTAAATGCCAGCCCGTCCCCTGCGGGGTGGACGAGGAGGAGCCAGAAGGGGCTGGGGTGTGACAGACGCCCACATCCTCTGTTGAGCAGGCGACTCTGCATCTGACCGTGCCACCGGGCCACAGGGCCCCTGGAGAGGGCCCGGGAGGGGTCAGAGACAGGTCTGGCCTGGCTGTGGCGACAAGGAGGTGGTAGACACAGCACATCCACCCAGACGGCCTGAGGGGCCTGACACGTGCTTCCCCCTCAGCCCCCACAACCACACAGAAGATCTTCGCCAGCACCCTGGGCCTGCCCTCCTCCCTGCCAGCCACCACCTTGCTCAGTACGACGTGGCCAGAGACGCCCGATCTCCGCCAGCACCCGCGGTAAGCGCACCTGCCTCCTGGGATCTGGACACCTGGTGGATTCTCCTCTAGACGGGGTTCGGGGGGAGGCTGGGGAGGGTGGTTTTATTTCCTTTCCTGGCCCCTCTTTTACTCATCGGCCTCACACCCAACTCTGAGGCTCCTACTGCATGCTGGGCCCTCCTCTCAGCTTTGGGGTGCAGCGTGAGCCTCCCAAACGACATGGCTCCCTGACAGACGCTGTGTTCTAAGGGGTGGAAGCAGCAAGGAGAAAGCCCACCCCCAGGCTGCTGTCCTCTGCCCGCTCACGGGGGAGCCTTGGTAGAACAATGGGGCTGGGAGAGCTGAGGCCTCTGTTCACTAGGGGGAGGCCTCACTGATGAGCGGCCCTCTGAGGGGCCCAGCAGGGTGTGGGGGGGCGGGCACTCAGGTGTCTGCAGAAGCAGGGCTCCAGGCAGAGGGAGGAGCCAGAGCAAGGCCCTCTGGGACCCTGGCCCAGGCCCCCGGGCAGGGACTGTGAGCCCCGGGGCAGGTGGCCTCCCCGAGCCGGGTCACAGTTGTCTCCCGTTGAAGAACACAGGCCTCTGAGGTTGGGGGGAGTTGAGCGGGGTCATCCCCTCCTTCCATCAGCAGCCACTAAACCTGCATGAGTGCTAACGTTTTGGAGACACGGGCCAGGCGATGATTACTTGCTGTGAAGAAACTAGAACAGTCTCTACCCTGTGGGTGGTGCGGGCTGCAGGGGAGAACATATCCAACCACCACCCACGTTGTTGATTCCTCACCGCAGGTGGGGCCACCTGTGCCCGTGGAGGGCTGAGGACACCCCTCCTCGGGGGTCCGAGGCCCCCCTGAACCCCCGGGTCTAACGATAGCCCTTCCCCGTGTCCACAGCCCCAACCCTCAAGGGCAATGTTGGCTGGAGAGGCAGGGGGGCAGTGGTCCTTCAAGTGGGGCTGCCCCGTCGTCCGTGGTTGATCTTTACAGGGACCATTGTGGCTTCAGGACCTGGGCCGAGGGACGGGGGGAAATGGAGGGCACCCGGGCCGTCCCCTAAAGGGGTGTCTCACTGGGTGTCACTGTGTCCCCCCAGGTCCCTGCTCAGCAGCGTCCACTTCCTGCTCCTGGTCTTCCTGAAGCTGCCGGTGTTCCTGAGCATGCTGGGGGCCGTGCTTTGGGTGAGCCGGCCTCGGCGGGGCCCTGGGGGGGTGCGAGCCGCCCCGATCTGAGAACCAGTAATACCTGTTGCCATCGGTGCTCCGGCCAAGCATACATCCCTGGATGGGAATGGCCTTGTCTAATGTGACTAATAAATCCAGTGTCACTGTCCATGTTTCTGTCCGAATATTCTGTAAACGTACTAGAAAGAGTTTTCTTGCAATGTACCAGACACACAAAATATACCCAATAATGCACACTCATGAGGCCAGGTGACAGTGCACACTCATGAGGCCAGGTGACAGTGCACACTCATGAAGCCAGGTGACAGTGCACACTCATGAGGCCAGGTGACAGTGCACACTCATGAGGCCAGGTGACCCTGCACACTCATGCAGCCATGTGAGCGTGCACACTCATGCAGCCATGTGAGCGTGCACACTCATGGAGCTGTGCCCTCCAACCCGTGCATGCCCCCTGCAGCGTCACTAATAAACATCATCGATAGTTCCGTAGCGTTGACCTCTCCGCCGGGGGAGCCAACCCTGAACTTCGCATCCATCCCCTCCTTGTTTTCCTCACGGTTTTGCCCCGTATGTTCATACGTATCTCCAGAGTATACACGTGTTTTTAATGGTTCCCGCGGTTACTTTATTTTCATTTTTTCAGCTTCATGGAAATTTAATTGACATATAGCAATGTGTGGGTTTAAATTGTACAGTGTTTTCATTTGCTACACTTATTTGTTTTAAATGCAAAGTGAGCCCTGGCTGGTGTGGCTCAGTGGATTGAGCAACAGACTGTGGACCAGAAAGTCACTGGTTCAATTCCCAATCAGGGCACATGCCTGGGTTGGGGGACAGGTCCCCAGGGAGGGGTGCGCAAGAGCCAACCACACACTGATGTTTCTCTCCCTCTCTTTTTCCTTCCCTTCCCCTCTCTCTAAAAATAAATAAATAAAATCTTAAAGAGGGGGGAAGCAATGGCTATTGGGCCATCAGTTGGTCAAGTTAAAGGTGGTCTTCCACTGTTACGCGGCCGGACTCATCTCAGTTTGTCAAGAATCACATGAGCGCACAAAGCAGGTATTTGAAAACGAACCCAGAATTTGTTTTCAGAGGGTGCAGTGAGACATGCAAATGTGGAAATGACTGTCACGAAAGAAGAAGTCTGTACTCATCAATTCCACTTACTACATGGGCTACGGGAGGCAGCCCCAGCAGCCCCGCGGTCAGGCAGGAGGCAGAGGGAGAGAGAGGAACTGAGGGAGGGGGACTTTCCTGTGGTTCTTGTGGGAAGGGAGGGGTGGAGCAAGGTAAAGAAACCACCAGGTTAGGCCTGAAGAGTTTGAGTAAGTCTGGCAGGCCCTGGGCGGTGGGAGTGGCCCCTCGACCTTAGACTCAGCCTTGGGATGATTTAGTGCCGGGTCACACTGTCCCAGGCCCAGGAGCCTGATACACGTACATCAGCGGGGGCAAGATTGGGGGCTGTCAGTTTGCAGAAGGCAGACTTGCAGGCAATTCTGGCTACCTTGAGGAATTAGCTAACCAGGGAGGGGCAGCTCCTCCCTGGGTCCACAAGGCCCCAAGATGTTAAAGCATCATAGAGTATAAACTTTAAAAACCCACAGGATTCATGGAGATCATTAGTAGAGTAATAGTTCATAGCAGCGCGTAGTAATAATGAATAGACGTTAATTGGTGGGGATGGGAGGGTGCTCACCACGCCTGCCTCCCGAGACCTTGCAGGGGGCATTGGTCTCTGCCACCGCACTCAGGGTCTGTCATGGCTTGTAGCTCACTGTCTGGATGGGGAGGAGCACAGTTGCAGAACTTGGCTACCAGGATAGCTTTTACTCCCTAGGGTATCAGACCAACGTGAGGGTTCCGTCGGCTCTTAAGAATATCAGTCCTGGCCCTGGCTGGTGTGGCTCAGTGGACTGAGTGTGGGCTGCAAACCAAAGGGTTGCAGGTTCAATTCCCAGTCAGGGCACATGCTTGGGTTGTGGGCCAGGTCCCCAGTAGGGCGCATGTGAGAAGCAACCACACATTGATGTTTCCCTCTCTGTCTCCTTCCCTTCTGTCTCTAAAAATAAAAATCAGTCCTGATTGTGCCATCATGAGTCTGGGACGTGGCCACAGGGAAAGTCCACAGAGTTGGAAGCTTGGGTAGAGAGGCAGTTTCCCTGGTTGGGACCCTTCCCCCATGCCCAAGCCACCCCCAAGCGGGTTGCCATGGCACCAGCTGCCTAACAAACCCTCTCTTCTGCTTCCTGCCTGTGAAGATTGTGTTTTATTGGCTACTCACTCCCCTGCAGAGTCACGGTGGGTGGGGCGGAAGGAAACTGGGTCAGTTGCCTGCGAGAGGATTCCTGGTTCAGATGCTGATGTCATCACTTATAACATGCTTCTGGTCAGTTTGTTTACTCTCTGATCTGTTGGCAAGGTAGTTGAAATGAATATATATATATATTTTTTCTTTGTTATGTGAAAAGACACCCATAAATGATAAGACAGGTATAATTTCCTGCTTGGGTTTTTTAATCCTTTTATTGAAGTATAACATGTGTGAACTCTGGGGGGGAAAACAGGACACCTACTATGAGGGGTTCCCAGTGGCTAACAGGTCTCAAATTAAAAAAAAAAAACAGACAAAGATTATAACTTTTGGCCAAGATGGGGACGTAGGTAGAAACACTGTGCCTCCTTGAACAACCAAAAGAAAGACAACAACAATTTAAAAACAAAAAACAACCAGAACTGACAGAAAATCAAACTGCATGGAAGTCCAACAGCCAAGGAGTTAAAGAAGAAACACTCACCTGGACCCAATGGAGTCAGACAACTGGGCAGAGAGGACTCGCGGCAAGATAGCAGCTGGCGGACCCAGTGAGGAGGTGGGCCCAGGACCGGGCAACCCCACATTCACACATGGATAAGCCGGGAGGAACAACTGGAGAGTGGGACAGATGGAGCAACCTAGGGCCCCAGCGTGGAGAAATATAGCCTCAAACCACCAGTTGAAAACACCTGTGGGGGTTGAGGTGCCGGGAGAAACTCCCAGCCTCACAGGAGAGTTTGTTGGAGAGACCCACAGGGTCCTAGAATGAACACAAGCCCACCCACTGGGAATCAGCACCACAAGGACCCACTTTGCTTGTGGGAAGTGGGTGAAGTGACTGAAAACAGGCAGAGAACGGAGCAAGCGCCATTGTTCCCTCTGGGACACTCCCCCACATACAGTATCACAACACAGCCACGTGGGTTGCCCTGCCCTGTTGAACACCTATGGCTCCACGCCTCACTATGTCGTACCAGGTGTGCCGAGACAAAAAAAAAAATGGCCCAAACGAAAGAACAGATCAAAGCCCCAGAAAAAATAGAACTAAGCAATGAAGACATAGCCAACCTATCAGATGCACAGTTCAAAACACTGGTAATTAGGATGCTCACAGAAATAAAGGAAAATGCACAGGCAATCAACAGTGATGAGAAGGAAACTGGGACTCAAATCAACCTTGTGGACCAGAAGGAAGAAAGAAACATCGAACCAGAAAAAAATGAAGAAACAAGAATTCAAAAAAATGAGGAGAGGCTTAGGAGCCTCCAGGACATCTTCAAACATGCCAACATCCAAATTATAGGGGTACCAGAAGGGGAAGAGGAAGAGCAACAAGTGGAAAAATTATTTGAACAAATAATAAAGGAGAACTTCCCCAATCTGGCAAAGGAAATAGACTTCTGGGAAGTCCAGGAAGCACAGAGTGTCCCTAAGAACTTGGACCCAAGGAGGAAAACACTAAGACACATCATAATTATATTACCTAAGATTAAAATTAAGGAGAGAATTGTAGAAGCAGCAAAAGAAAAGGAGACAGTTACTTACAAAGGAGTTCCCATAAGATTGTCAACTGATTTCTCAAAAGAGACCTTCCAGGCAAGAAGGGGCTGGAAAGAAATATTCCAAGTCATGAAAGGTAAGGACCTACATCCAAGATTGTTCTATCCAGCCAAGCTTTCGTTTAGAATGGAAGGGCAGATAAAGTGCTTCTCAGATAAGGTCAAGTTAAAGAAGTTCATCATCACCAAGCCCTTATTATATGAAATGTTAAAGGGATTTATCTAAGAAAAGAAGATAAAAATGTGAACAGTAAAATGACAGCAAACTCACAATCATTAACAAGCACACCTAAGAGAAATACAAGCAAACTAAGCAAACAACTGGAACAGGAACAGAACCACAGAAATGGAGATCACATGGATGGTTAGCAACAGGGGAGTGGGAGTGGAAGCTGGGAAAGGCACAGAGAATAAGTAGCATAGATGGTAGGTAGAAAATAGACAGGGGGAGGGCAAGAATAGTATGGAAAATGTAGAAGCCAAAGAACTTTTATGTATGTCCCATGGGCATGAGCTAAAGGGGGGAGTGTGGGTGGGAGGGGAGTGAAGGGGGGGAAAATGGGACAACTATAATACCATAGTCAATAAAATATAGTAAAAAACCCCAAAGAACAGAGGGCCTAGAAGCCATATTTGCACAGGGCTCCTCACTCAAATTGCCCCTCGTGGAGGAGCCTGAACTGAACTGCCTACCTCTGCATTGCGCTGCGGCCAACTGAGCCAGCCTTTATAGAGGTTCCTTGGAATCCTAATTCGACTAATAGGATTGAGGCTTCCCCCATCTAATCAGAGCTGTGCAGCTATGACCACTCAGAGCAGCTCTATTCTAACCAATCAGGACAGTGCCTTTTGGACCAATCACACTTCAAGGATTGGCAGCCCTCATTTTCGTGAGGACGGACCAATCAGGGACCAGGAGCGGGGACTTGCACCCCTGTGAGCCAGCCTCTGGAGGGCACCTGCCCCTTCCACGCCAGAAGGGGGACTAGGTTTCCCTGGTGGAGTGGAGCTGACCAGTGCAGTGCAAAGCAGACTGGCATGGAGCAGGGCAGGCCGTGGAGAAGCAGAGCAGAGCTGTCTAGCCCCAGGAGGACCTGGCCTCAGGGCTGCCTGGCCCCACGGATGTTCTACATGCGGCTGTATCACAGTTCAGCTGTTTTGCATTGCATAAACTTTCCTTCTTCACGGTCCCCAAATTGGGGATTCTTATTGGCATTGAATCAGTGCCAATGACCACCCGTTTACACGTAAAACAAGGTTATACAAATCATGAACATACAATTCACTGAGATTTTGGAAAGTGACTCTTCTTGTGTAGCCACCACCCAGATCAGATGGCCGCACCCTCGAGTGGGTCCCTTCAACACCGTATCGGGGTGGGCCTGGGGATCCTGGACATGGCAGGAGCAATGGTGTATGAGTTCCAGGGACAGGTCATAAAATAGGCTGTGCCTGCTGTCTGTTGGATCTTTCTCTCTGAAAGAAGCTACTTGTGATGTCATGAAGTCACTCAATCAGCTCTATTTTGCCCCCTACCTAGGAGGTAGGGAGGGAGGGAGAGAGAGAACCCAACCACACTGGCCAGGGCGCCCCGTCAGCTCTCCTGAGCAAGGACCCGAGGTTCCTGTCAGCATCCGTGGAGGGCGCCGTGTTGGGAACAGGCCCTGTAGCCCCAGTCCGGCCTTCAGGGGAGGGCAGCCCTGTCCGACACCCCAACTACCTGTCCGTGAGACAGACACCCTGAGCCAGAACGACACAGGTAAGCACTCAGGTGTTGGTCTCTCGGGAAGGGTGACATGAAAAGTGTTTTCAGCCTGGGTTTCTTACCCAGGTAGATATTATCTAATGTAGGGGGACCACACTTGCCTAGAGCCTGTCTCGGCAGACAAGTCAGTCTCTCATTCACCTAAAGCCAGGCTTAGGAAATATGTCTCATCAGCCAACCATCTGTCACACACTGAAGTTGGGCACTGGGTCATTCATTCAGGGACAAATGCCACTGCGACATAGCTGTGGAAGGAAAAGAAACTCCTCTCTGTCACACTTGCAAGTTTTGTCGGGACAAAAGCTGAGTAAAAGTTATTTTTAGGTAAGGAGCCGGCTAGCAGAAGTGGCTAAGTAATGATATCTCAAGGTCACTAATCTTGCCCCTGCTTCTGAATGCTAGCTTTCAGCAGCTGGTTCCCCCTCCCTTTGTGCCTGTGTAACTGGTATATAAAAAGGACCCCTAACCCAGCCTTTTCGGCTCAGGATTTGGGAATTGACTCCCTTGAGCCCCAGTCGAGTAATAAAGTTTGTGCTTCATTATCTCCCAAGTGTGGGTGGATTTTCCACAACAAAGCTACATCCTAGTGGGGGGGGGATGAGGAGAAAGCACCCAAAGGGAACTTGCAGCCGTGTTTGGTGGGCTGTAGGGGAAATAAACAGGGGTCGCCGACAAGCAGAGTGACCCCTGGAAGGGTGAGCAGGGAAGCCTTTGTAAGGAGGGGACATCCGAGTGGGACCGGAAGGACCAGGAGGGACAAGAGGGGACAGAAGAGGGAAGGGACGCAGGGACAGTGAAGAGCAGGCGCCCAGGCCCGGGGAGGGACGGCACTTGGGGGCGGGGGAGTGAGACCCCAGCCAGGTCTGCTCGGGCCGTGGAGGCCCAGCGAGGAGAGTGGGCCTCACGGGAAGGACGTGCGGCAAGGAGTGATGTGGACCGCCCTTGACCTCTGCTGACCCTTGCTGACCAGGAGGGAAGAGAGGGAAAGGGCACCGGGGGCACCAGGAGAAATGGGACGTCACCACACGTGCAGAGGGCAGGGGACGCCTGCACGTCAGAGGCAAAGGAGGGGGAAGGGCGGCTCGGACAGAGTTCGCATGAGCACTGATGGGGCATGGGGACAGGAGGACCCTGTGGTCCAGGTTCGGGGTGGGGGGGCCGCCCGCCCTGGGCTGCCAGTGAGTGTGGAGAGAGTTTTCAGGGGGAAGTGGATAGACCTGGGCGGTGCAGCACGGGGCTGAGAACCAGCGTGACCAGGAGAAACGTTACAGTAGGCCGTGCACCTTGCCCCGCCTCCCTGCCCTTTCCCAGGTAGATCGGTCCCACAGCCGCCATGTCATGAGCACAAGGAGCTACTGCCCCCTCTGTCCTCACCTGCTGCGGGGAAGGGCCTGTCTCCTGTCATGGCCTCCAGCGCTGAGGGACCTGAAAGGACCTGCACCCCAGGGTACCCTGACCTGGGCCCATCTGGAGAGTCAGGCTCGGGAACAAATGACCCCAAGGTCCTGGGCCACATGCTGGGTTAGGACAGAGCCAGCCTCCCAGCCCCCTGGGAAGGGCCATCCTGTCTCTGCCTCTGGGAGAGGCCCCTGTGAGCCCCGCAGGGCCACCAGCGGCCGGAGCCTGGGGCAGACACGCCTCTCTATGCCGTCGGGTGCAGAGGAAGGGCTCGGTCTCCGCTTGGCAGGGTCTCCCACGTGCCAGGCAGCGCCTCACACCTCCGAGCCCTCTGTGCCCACCCCGGGCCTCTGTCCAGCGGGGTCTCCCGGTGGAGCCGGCTTCTGGGGGGAGGGTGCATCACAGATTGCCGGCCGCTCCACACCTGTGTCTGCAGAGGAGGGAAACACAGGAGGGGAGACATGGCCTTGGATGGGACCCCCGGAGCCAGGGGGACCTTTGGGGGCATCTGAGGGCATCATGCCAACCTGTGTGGGGAGGACAGTGGGGTCTCCCCGGGGTCAGAGCTCTCCTGGGTGTCTGGAGCCACCTGCTGGTGGGTGGTGACACCTCTGTGTCACCGGCAAGGCCAGAGGGGATGCAAAGGTCTGGCCTTCCTCTGCAGGACTGTCTATCCTGACCACAAAGAAGTGACATATCACAGAGGGTGGGGACACCTGGCCAAGAAGGAAACATCCCAGCCTGGCTCTGCCGTGTGGAGCTCCGTGTGACCGAGGGAGGGGCAGTTGTGTGCTCCGAGGAGGGAATGCACCTCCCTGGAGGCGGGACACGGCCTGCAGTCTGTCATGAGGGCCCTGCGGGCCTGTGCAGCTTCCTGCCACCGACCAGCTCCAGCACCGCACTCCACCGGGGCTGGGCAAGGAAGCAGAGAGGCCAGAAAAGCAGAAGCGGACACAGGAAAATTGAGCCCTCTGTGGGAGGCTGGACCTGGTCCACACGGAGGGCTGGTGTGGCCACACATTGTGTCTGTGCTGGAGAAATGACCCCCAGGGTCTGGGCCGCATGGCTGCCCTCTGCTGTGTTCCTCCTGCAGGCCCCAGGTGAGTGGGGCTGGGCCCGGGAGGGGAGCTGGGCCCAGAGTGGGGGAGAGGAAGAACCCGGTGGGGTGGGTGGGGAGCAGCCTGACGGGAAGGAGGGAGGGCAGGGGAGGCCGAGAAGCTTCCAGGAGTGGCCAGCACCTGCCTCAGCGGCGACCCAAGGATTCAGGGAGTAAAGCAGGCAAGGCTCATCCACTGTGCTGGACAGAGTGGCCCTGATGGGAGAGGGTCTGTGATTGTCCCCCTAACTGTCATGATGGGGATGTGGCCTTGGTACATCCCACACACACTCACACACACCTGTGCACACACATGTATGTGCGCACACTCAGTTTTTACCCATCGCGGGCGGCCCTTCTTGTCTCCAAGGACACCCTGTCCCTGCGTCCCCTCTGGGAGGAGGGAGCTACTTCCCCCTCACCCCTCACCTGGTGGGAGGAACGGCCCATCTCCTGCCATGGACCCAGCCCTGAGAGCCCTTGAGGGGCCTGCACCCCTGGGCACCCCGACCCGGGCCCATCTGGTGAGGAGCGGGGACTGGGCTGTGTCTTCCAGGCTGTTTGTCCGTGAGCGGCCCCCCCACCATGAGGGGCACCGTGGGGGGATCCCTGAGCGTGCAGTGTCGGTACGAGGAGTTGTTCAGAAGGAATAAGAAATACTGGTGTGAAAAGTCATGCTTGCCACTGAAGAACAACAAGATCGTGGAGACCACGGAGTCAGAGAGAGAAGTGAGGAACGGCCGAGTGACCATCAGGGACCACCCAGAAAACCTCACCTTCACTGTGACCATGGAGAACCTCACAGAGGATGATGGAGGTGCATACAGGTGTGGGATCGATGTATCATTGAACCGAAGAATTCTGGACCCCGCGTTCGAGGTTGTGGTGACTGTGTACCCAGGTGAGCCGCGCACCCCCTCCCCTTGTCCCAGGGCCAGGCTGCCTGACCTGTGCCTGGTCACCCTGTCGGTCTGAAGAGCAGAGTGAGCTGGGGGGCGGGGGACGGTGATCGGGACACACTGTGTGTTACGTGCACACACACAAACACACCTCTGGTTGTTCCAGACCCCTCTGAGCGCCACGCCCTGACACAGTCTCCAGCCTGGGTCGGTCCTGGGTGGGGCCGGGTGAGAACAGCCCGACTCCGGGGACATGCTGCCCTCTGGTCGCCACGAAAACCGTGTCCACTCTGAAGGGGACCCCATGTCCCTCCTGCTCTTCTCTGGGTCGTCCCTGTGGGGACGGCTCGGCTGGGACACGTCCTGCTCTCACCACAGGCCGTCCTGGACCTGGTCCGGGAGAGGACGTCACCGTGGGTGGCCCTGGGCATCAGCCTCACGGCCGTGGTCCTGGGCCATCTGCAGCAGCCATGAGAGGGGCTCAGGAGAAGACCCCCGGGCTCCGCTGCAGGGCTCCTGGTGTGTTTGGGGGACCACCTCGCCCCTTTAGCTGACCCTGCCTCTCCGCCTCCTTCTCTGAGACCTTGTGACCCCCAGAGGGAGCCCGGAGACACCTCGACAGTACCTCCCTCAGACAAAGGAGAGGAAAGAGGGAGGAGTGAGCTCTTGTGTGTTACGCCCCTGAACTTGCTCCCATGTTCTCCCAGCAACTCTCCTTGCCAGATGGCTGCGCCTGTCTCCGAGGGAAGACCACCCGTCCCAGTGCACAGATTTTCCTTTGTGCTGGTCACATGGTCCTGGCTCCGCCCACTTCCTTCTTGGGGTTCCCACTTTCTCATTCTCACGTTCTCACCCGGGAGGCGCCTCAGCATCCCTCGTGAGTTCCTATTTCAGAGAGAGGAACCGAGACCCCACGGAGACCTCTGGGTGTGTCAGGGGAGGGGTTTGTCCAGCGGCTCCAGGGCAGGCCCCCTTCTGTGGAGCCCACTCACAGTGTCTGTCTAGATCTTTCTTTCTGCTCGTGTCCTCTTCCAGAGAGGGCGGCCCCGTGGCGGCCCGTGGTGGCTGGAAACCCAGCCAACAGCATGGGGGACTGAGTGGACATTCTGGGCGCACCGCTACAACAAAACACTAGGGGCCAGTCTGGTAGCTCACCGACCACACAGGTGTGCAGCTCACCTCTCTGCAGGCGGGAAGCCGGAGCTCAGGGGCCTGCGCGTGGGCGAGGGCCCTGCTCCGGGCTGCAGTCTGCTGCACCCGCACGTGGTGGACGGTCCTCCCTTATTAGGAAGCTAATCCCGATGATGAGGGTTCTGGCCACCTCCCAGTGACCTCCTAATCCCACCCCGCTGGACGCCGGGTTCCCCATGGAAGGATCTGGGGCACACAAACATTCACACCGTGGCCTGTCCTGAGGGACTGTGGGGCCCCCGTCCTTCAGGGCTGACCCCGCTGCGCGTCCCTGTTGCCTGGGGGTCTCCTCAAGCCGTCAGCTCTGCCTGCGGGCCCTGGCCACCCACCGCTCTGGCCAGTCGCTACTGAGTAAATGCCAGCCCGTCCCCTGAGGGGTGGACGAGGAGGAGCCAGGAGTGGCTGGGGTGTGACAGACGCCCACATCCTCTGTTGAGCAGGCGACTCTGCATCTGAACGTGCCACCGGGCCTCAGGGCCCCTGGAGAGGGCCCGGGAGGGGTCCAGGGGCAGGTCTCGCCTGGCTGTGGCCACAAGGGGGTGGTGGACACAGCACATCCGCCCAGACGGCCTGAGGGGCCTGACACGTGCTTCCCCCTCAGCCCCCACAACCACACAGAAGATCTTCGCCAGCACCCTGGGCCCGCCCTCCTCCCTGACAGCCACCACCTTGCTCAGTACGACGTGGCCAGAGACGCCCGATCCCCGCCAGCACCCCCGGTAAGCGCACCTGCCTCCTAGGATCTGGACACCTGGTGGATTCTCCTCTAGACGGGGATCGGGGGGAGGCTGGGGAGGGTGGTTTTATTTCCTTTCCTGGCCCCTCTTTTACTCATCGGCCTCACACCCAACTCTGAGGCTCCTACTGTGTGCTGGGCCCTCCTCTCAGCTTTGGGGCACAGCGTGAGCGTCCCCCAACGTCGTGGCTCCCTGACAGACGCTGTGTTCTAAGGGGTGGAACCAGCAAGGAGCAAGCCCACACCAGGCTGCTGTCCTGTGCCCGCTCTCAGGGGAGCCTTGGCGGGATGATGGGGCTGGGAGAGCTGAGGCCTCTTTTCACTAGGGGGAGGCCCCACTGATGAGTGGCCCTCTGAGGGGCCCAGCAGGGTGTGGGGGGGCGGGCACGGAGGTGTCTGCAGAAGCAGGGCTCCAGGCAGAGGGAGGAGCCAGAGCAAGGCCCTCTGGGACCCCGGCCCAGGCCCGGGCAGGGCATGGGAGCCCCGGGGCAGGTGGCCTCCCCGAGCCGGGTCACAGTGGTGTCCGGTTGAAGAATGCAGGCCACTGAGGGTGGGGGGAGGTGAGCGGGGTCATCCCCTCCTTCCATCAGCGGCCACTAAACCTGCATCAGTGCTAACGTTTTGGAGACACGGGCCAGGCGCTGATTACTTCCTGTGAAGAAACTAGAACAGTCTCTACCCTGTGGGTGGTGCGGGCTGCAGGGGAGAACATATCCAACCACCACCCACGTTGTTGATTCCTCACCGCAGGTGGGGCCACCTGTGCACGTGGAGGGCTGAGGACACCCCCTTCTCCTGGGCCCCAGGTCCACCTGAACCCCCGGGTCTAACACAGCCCTTCCCCGTGTCCACGGTCCCAACCCTCAAGGGCAACCGTGAGCCGGAGAGGCGGGGGGCAGTGGTCCTTCAAGTGGGGCTGCCCCGTCGTCCGTGGTTGATCTTTACAGGGACCATTGTGGCTTCAGGACCTGGGCCAAGGGACGGGGGGAAATGGAGGGCACCCGGGCCATCCCCTGAAGAGGTGGCTCACTGGGTGTCACTGTGTCCCCCGCAGGTCCCTGCTCAGCAGCGTCCACTTCCTGCTCCTGGTCTTCCTGAAGCTGCCGGTGTTCCTGAGCATGCTGGGGGCCGTGCTCTGGGTGAGCCGGCCTCGGCGGGGCCCTGGGGGGGTGCGGGCCGCCCCGATCTGAGAACCACTAATACCTGTTGCCGTTGGTGCTCCGGCCAAGGACACAGCCCCGGATGGGAATGACCTTGTCTAATGTGACTAATAAATCCAGTGTCACTGTCCATGTTTCTGTCCAAATATTCTGTAAACGTACTAGAAAGAGTTTTCTTCCAATGTACCAGACACACAAAAATATACCTAATAATGCACACTGAGGCCAGGTGACAGTGCACACTCATGAGGCCAGGTGACAGTGCACACTCATGAGGCCAGGTGACGGTGCACACTCATGAGGCCAGGTGACAGTGCACACTCATGAGGCCAGGTGACAGTGCACACTCATGAGGCCAGGTGACGGTGCACACTCATGAGGCCAGGTGACAGTGCACACTCATGAGGCCAGGTGACGGTGCACACTCATGAGGCCAGGTGACAGTGCACACTCATGAGGCCAGGTGACAGTGCACACTCATGGAGCCAGGTGACAGTGCACACTCATGGGGCCAGGTGACAGTGCACACTCATGAGGCCAGGTGACAGTGCACACTCATGGGGCCAGGTGACAGTGCATACTCATGAGGCCAGGTGACGGTGCACACTCATGGAGCCAGGTGACAGTGCACACTCATGGGGCCAGGTGACAGTGCACACTCATGAGGCCAGGTGACAGTGCACACTCATGGGGCCAGGTGACAGTGCACACTCATGAAGCCGTGCCCTCCAACCCGTGCATGCCCCCTGCAGCGTCACTAATAAACATCATGGATAGGTCTGTAGCCCTGACCTCTCCGCCGGGGGAGCCGACCCTGAACTTCGCATCCATCCCCTCCTTGTTTTCCTCACGGTTTTGCCCCGTATGTTCATACGTATCTCCAGAGTATGCAGAGTGTTTTTAATGGTTCCCGCAGTTACTTTATTTTTATTTTTTCGGCTTCATGGAAATATAATTGACAGATAGCACTGTGTAGGTTTAAAGTGTACAGTGTTTTCATTTGCTACACTTATTTTAAATGCAAAATGATTAGGGCTGTAGTGTTAGCTAACATCTCTATTGTGTCACGTAATTGTCGTTTCTTTTTTGTGGTGAAGACATTTAAGAGCTGCATGCTTAGCAACCTTTTTTTCCAATATTTTATTTATTTATTTTTAGAGAGAGGGGTAGGGAGAGAGAAAGGGAGGGAGAGAAACATCCATGTGTGGTTGCCTCTTGAGCGCCTCCTACTGGGGACCTGGCCTGCAGCCCTGGCATGAGCCCTGACTGGGAATCTATCCAATGACCCTTTGGTTCTCAGGCTGGCATGCAATCGACTGAGCCACACCAGCCAGGGCTCTTAGCAACTTTTATGTACATGTACAGTATTAGTAGCTTTAGTCTCCGTTGACACACTAGGTCCTCGGAATTTATCTTTGAACTGCAGGTTGGCACCCGTTGACCAGTAGGTCCCCACGTCTCCTACCCCCGGCCCCTGGTGGCCACAGCTGCACTCTGTTCCACTTTTTTTAGGTCCCACACGCAAGTGACATCATGCACCCTGTTCCTTCCTCAGTCTGACTTACTCCACGCAGCACCATGCCCTCAAGATCCATCCGCGTTGTTACCAGCGGCAGGGTGTCCTTCCTGCTCGTGGCTGCATAATATTCCGCTGTGTGCACACGCCGTATCTCCTCCGCCCACTCATCTGCTGATGGACAACCATGGTGCTTCCACATCTCGGCTGCTCCTAGGGGTGGGTGGCTGGATCACAGGGCACTTCTTTAAATTTTTTTGTGGAACCACTGTACTCCTTGTTGTAGCTTGCCATCTTGGTGACAGCCACTCCAACCAGGGGGAGGTGAGAGCTCACCAAGGGCTGCACTTGCATTTACCCACCAGGCAGTGGCATGGAGCACCTTTTCACACAGCTGCTGGCCATCCCCACGTCATTTTGGAAAAAGTGTTCAGTTCCTCTGCCCAGTTTTTAAATTGGATTGTTTGGGGTTTCGTGGTGTTGTTATTGAGGCGTCTGAGTTCTTTATATATGTGGGATTTTAACCGCCTCTCTGATATATGATTTGCAAATCTTTGATCTCATTCTGTAGATTGCCTCATTAATTGTTTCCTTTGCTGTGTGCAAGGTTTTAGGTTTGATAGAACCACATTTACTAATGTCGGCTTGTGTTGCGCGTGGTTTCGGTGTCATTTCCGGGAAGTCGCTGCCAAGGCCCACGTGTTTTCTTCCAGGAGTTTTGTGGTTTGAGGTCTTACTTTTAAGTCTTTACTCCATTTCAACTTGTCTTTGTGCGTGGGGTCAGATGCGGGTCCAGTTTCATTTGTCCGCACGTGGTTATCTGTTTCTGCAGCTCCATTGTTTGGAGAGGCCCCCCCAGTGGACTCTGCATGCAGGGGTTCACCTGCGGGCTTTGCATTCTGTCGCCCTGGCCCGTGTGTCTGTTTTGACGCCGTGTCGCACTCTTCTGATTACTGGATATTAATGATACGTTTGGAAGCAGGAAGCGTGACACCTCCAGCTCTGTTCTTTCTAGTCAGTGTTGACTAGGCTATTGAAGTCTTCTGTGGCTCCATGCAAATTTTAGGGCCGTTTCTGTATTTCTGTGGAACACGTGATTGGCATGTTGATAGGGACGGAGCTGGATAAGTAGACGGCTTCTGGTGGTATGGACATTGTAACAATATTAATTCTTCTGATCCATGCACACAGAATATCTTTCCTTTTATCTGAGTCTTCTTAAATTTCTCTCATCGATGTCCTACAGTTTCCAGTGTACAGGTCTTTTGGCTTCTCAGTTAAATTTACTCCCATTTTATTGTTTTGGATGCTGTCGTAAGTTGAATCGTTTACTGTATTTTTCAGATAGTTTGTTGTTAGTGTGTAGAAATGCAACAGATTTTTGTGTCTTGCAACTTTCCTGAATTTGTTTATTAGTTCTAACAGGTTTTTGGTCTAGACTTTAGGGTTTTCTATGTATATATAAGATCCCGTTGTCTGCAAACAGAGACAGCTTTACATCTCCCTTTCTGATTTAGATTCCTTTAAAAAAATCCCATCTCACTGCCCTGGACAGACCCCCAGTACTATGCTGAATGGAAGTTGCCAGAGTGGGTTCCTGATCTTGGAGGAAGAGCTGTAAGCCCTTGACCACTGAGCAGGATGTGGGGTAAGGGCTCGTTATCAGTGGCTTTCATTACGTTGAGGTGGGTTCCTGCTTCACCCGCTTTGCTAGAGCTTTTTTATCATGAAAGGACGCTGTGTCTGCCAAATGCATCTCCTGAGATGTGTGTACGATTTTTATTTGTCGTTCTATTAATGTGGTGTATCGAGTGGTTTGCTTTTGTTGCGTCCCGGGGATAAATCCCACACGGTCTGATGTAAGATGGTTTTTCTAAAAGCCTAATTTATCTGCTAGGACCTCTGCTCTCCCTTGGTTTTTATGTGCATGGAATATCTTTATATTTTTTCTTTTTCATTTTAATTGTTGTTCAAGTACAGTTTTCTCCCTTTTACTCCCATCCCAGCCCACCCCCGCAGTGCTCCCCAGCTCCCTCCCATTTCCATCCGCCCCTAGTTTTTGTCCATGTGTCCTTTATACTTGTTCCTGCAAACCCTTCCCCTTTTCCCCTGAAATTCCCTCCCCTCTCCCCTCTGGTCACTGTCAGCCTGTTCTGTATTTCAGTGTCTTTGGTTACATTTTGCTTGTTTCTTTGTTTTGTTGTTTAGGTTCCTGTTAAAGGTGAGATCATATAGTATTTGTCTTTCACTGCCTGGCTTGTTTCACTCAGCATAATGCTCTCTAGCTCCATCCAAGCTGTTGCAAAGGGTAGGAGCTCCTTCTTTCTCTCTGCTGCATAGCATTCCATTGGGTAAATGTACCATAGTTTTTTGGTCCATTCGTTTACTGATGGGCACCTAGGTTGCTTCCAGCACTTGGCTACATGGAATATCTTTTTCCATCTCTTCACTTGGAGCCTATTCGTCCTTAAAGCTGAAGTGAATCTCTTGTAGGCAGCAAATAGTTTGGCCTTATTTTAAAAAAAATCTATCCAGCCCCTCAATGCCCTTTGATTGGACTATTTATTCCATTTGAATTTAAAGTAGTTATTGATAGGTAATAACTTTACTTTGCCATCTTACTAGGTGTTTTCCAGCTGTGGTGTAGGTCCCTGGTTTCATTCTCCTCTCGCGCTGTCTTCAGGTGTGAATGAATGATTTTCCATAGCAGTAGGGCTTGATTCCCTTTTCATCTTTTCTGTATCTATCGTAGGTGTTGCTTCATGGCTACTATGCGGCTCATGTAAACCATCTCATAGATACAACAGTCTATTTTAAGTTGATGACAATTCAGCCACATACAAAAGCCTACCTTTGATACAGAGATTTCCATCTGTTTATGTTGTGTATCCATTAACAAATTATTGTAACTGTAGTTATCTTTTTTTTTTTAAGATTTTATTTATTTATTTTTAGAGCGGGAAGGGAGGGAGATAGAGAGAGAGAGAGAGAGAAACATCAATGTGCGGTTGCTGGGGGTCATGGCCTGCAAGCCAGGTATGTGGCCTGACTGGGAATCGAACCTGCGACACTTTGGTTCGCAGCCCGCGCTCAATCCACTGAGCTACACCAGCCAGGGCAGTAGTTATCTTAATACTTTAACCTTATATTCGAGTTCTTTAACCTCATATATAGAGTCTTGTCTATACAGAGCAAGCGTACTAAAATCTAAATCTTTTCCGCTTTACATGTGGACAATCAATTCATGTATAATTAGTTAAAACTTTGATTCTCTCTCCCCTCGGCTCCTGTCCTTTGTTCCCTTTTCTGGTTGTGTTGCGGAGGTTAACCACAGCGTCCAATCAGAGCGGCGACGGAGAGCGCCTGGCCCCCCTCCTGCGTCTGAAGGGAAGGCTTCTCACCACTCGCCACTGGTTTCACGGTGACAGAACATTTGCCTGCAGGGCCCCTTCTCCTCTTAGCTCATCCTGAAAGGTGATGGATTCTGTACGACGCTTTTCATTCGGCTCTTTACATGATTGCGCGATTCTTCTCCTTCGTCCTATGAATATGGTGAACTATACACATTTTCGTACTAAAATGGACTTGCTCCCCTTTCCCGGAGAATTGAAACT